AATGGAATCTCTCCTCTTCTTTTTTTTTTTTTTTTTGTTCTTCGAATTCACACACACACACAGTTGTACATACCTGGCCTGAGGCCTCACAAAAGAAATTCAAAACAATTATTAATTACACTCCGCAATTAGTTTCTTCATCACCCAATTCAACCAAAAGCTAGGGCAATAATCGCCGACCAAAGTTCCGACTTTTGTTTTCCCTGCCAATTTGATTATAGACTACTCCCTATTTGGTTTTGATCTATTCTGATTATTTCCTGCCTCGGGGTTTTATACTATACATTTGATTGCATGAATCTGGCCTCTTTTACTTTGATTAATTAACTCACTATTGTTCTTTTGCCGTTTTTCATTCATTCATGAGAGTACAAAATATATTCATTTTTCATGCGTTTCTTCTCTCATCTTCATTCCACTTCGCTGCAGTTATGACCAGTGTTTTGCCATGTTTGATAATGCTGTAACTCCAGAATCCAGATGAATTTTATTGGAGTTTTTTTTACTATTCTACTCAGATTTTTAGAGCGTTGATATACTTTGTTGGGGTAATGTTATGGCTGTTCAATTGTATTTATATTTTCTCCTCTTTTTTTCGGAATTTAAATCTCCTGTGGATGGCCTTGTAGAATTTCTTTGCTGAATTTATGGTTACATTTACCTCTTGATGTAGGGAGCCTATTATTAGCCTTTTTACTCTTCCCTCTTCATTTTGGGATAGCAGTAAAGCAGGGCGTTTGGGGGAGGTCCTGTTGAGTCTAGAGCTATAGCTGCCTATAGCATGTTAGCATTTGACAAAATATGTGTTTAGGAAAAAATGTTCTGCGCACCTTTTTTAAGTTTAGAATTTAGGGTTTAGATTGAAAAAATAGTTTTTTTTATATAAAATTAATATTCATATGTTTAAAATTTTTAGATAATCATTCATAAATGAAATTTTTAAATAATATTTTTAGTATAATGTGTATGTAGTATTAATACAGTTATGTTTTATGGATTAGTTGTTTAAAATTAAGCACATGTTTAAATCTTTTTATAAGAAATAAAGTGTCCAAACATATTCAAAATGGTTAAACAAATTATTTGTAGTTTTGATTTGATCATAGTGCAAAACAGGCATTTAACGGCAGTAGTTTAATTTATAGTGTTTTATAGTACTGGTAATTGCAGCAAAGTTGTCCATGTGACCCTTATAATAATTGAGTCTTTTTTTTATTATCTTCAATGTAGCAGCCATTATTCTCCTTGGGAGCATTTGTATATCTTCAATAACCTTTTGTTAATCAAGTACAGTTCATCTATCCAACATGAATTCTATGATTAACATCTTTATCAATTTCACCGTTGTCTAATATTATAGAACCCAAGTAAGCTTTTCTTGTATAATGTCATCAAAAATTAAAGTAAGCTTCCTAACTAAAGATGCTGTGGCTGTTTTATCTTGAAGCAGACATCCAAAGCTAGTGCTGTTTGGTTCTTTTCACGGAGAAAGATATAGACAACTAATTCCCAGTCAATGCCTTCTTCTTCCTCAACACACTTTCCTCTTCGATGGGAGAGCACTGGTGATCAATGGTGGTTTGCATCACCTATTGATTGGGCAGCTGCCAACGGACACTATGACTTGGTCCGTGAACTTCTTCGTCTGGATGGTAACCACCTAATCAAGCTCACTTCACTGCGAAGGATCCGCAGGCTTGAGACTGTGTGGGACGACGAGGCACAGTTTGATCATGTGGCCATGTGCCGATCTCAAGTTGCAAGGAAGCTGCTTGCTGAGTGTGAGAACCAGAGAGGAAAAGATTCTCTTATAGGGGGAGGGTGTGGAGGGTGGCTGTTGTACACCGCTGCTTCTGCAGGGGACTTGAGCTTTGTCCAAGAATTGCTCCAAAGGGACCCGCTGCTCGTCTTTGGCGAGGGAGAATATGGTGCCACTGACATACTGTATGCTGCTGCAAGGAGTAAGAACTCTGATGTCTTTAAACTTGTTTTCAGTTATGCTCTCTCCCCAAGGTTTTCATCAGGAAGAGATCTGGAAGGACACGTCACTGGTGACATTCCATTGGCTTACAAATGGGAGATGATGAATAGAGCCGTTCATGCTGCTGCCAGAGAAGGTAATCTTGAGGTCCTGAAGGAGATTCTTGCTGGTTCTAGCGATCCCGTCTCGGCTTACAGGGATAAACAGGGTGCCACCATTTTACATGCTGCTGCTGCTCGAGGCCAAGTCCAGGTTTTGATTGCTGTAAAATCTTTAGTTTCTTTAATTTTACCTAATAAAGACATATTATGTGTCTGATATTCTTCTTAATTTGCCTGTTGGATGACTAATTTTCCAACTAGAGGAGATAAACTGAAGCTTAGTACAACTTTTTTGATGACCTGAAATAAAATTGTAACTTGGTAAATTCCGGGATAAATTGATGGCCTAAATTTTTACTTATTCGGAATCAACACCGATGATTTTAAGATCATGCAGTAAATATGAACTGCGGAGTACACAATTTCCAATGTTTAAGCAAGGAAAAGGAACTGTTTTAGCACGAAATGCTATTAGTCACGGATGGTTAAAGGATTCTATATCTGATATCGGCTAACTATAAAATAATTTTTTTGTAGAGTAAACTGACCCATAGTGGTTAATTATATGTAAGAGTTATATCATGCCTTTGCTGATATATTCTTCATGGTTGATAGGTAGCATTTACTCCTGCATAAAAGTGAGTGTTCTGTTTATGGATGCAGGTGGTGAAATATCTTATAACTAGTTATTATGATCTGATCAGCTCCACAGACAATCTAGGAAACACTGCATTACATATTGCTGCAGCTAGGGGTCAATTAGCCGTTGTAGAAGCTCTCACAGTTGCTTCCCCTTCATTAGTATCTTCAAAAAACGAAGCTGGAGAGACTTTCCTCCATGTTGCGGTTACCGGTTTCCAAACACCGTGCTTTCGTAGATTGGACCGTCAGATTGAGCTGATGAAGAATTTAGTGAGTGGGAAGGTGTTCAACGTTGAAGAAATTGTGAACACAAGAAACAATGAGGGCAGGACGGCACTCCAGCTGGCCATCATCAGTAACATTCATTCTGAGCTTGTGGAATTGCTTATGAGTGTTGGGTCTACGGATGTCAACGCCAGGGACAAGGATGGAATGACAGCGCTAGATATACTGAGGCAAGGGCCACGCTCCGAATCTTCTGAGAGAATCACAAGGAAGTTGATGTCTGCTGGAGGGATGTTCAGCAGCTGCCACGATGGTTCTGAAGCTGCAAGAAGAGTAATTGCTTCCCATTTGAGGATGCAGAGTATGGTGGGAGGCAGCCCCGGCACTTCTTTCAGAATCCCTGACCCGGAAATATTGACCATTGCAGGTGGAAGTGAGAAGGGTTTGGACACTTTTTCTTCCTCTACTACTACTACTGCCACTACTACTACTAGTACTAGGAAGATTACTACTAGGGATAGTGTTGTTAGTGAAGGAAAGCTGTTGGGTGCTGCAAGAAATGCTGTGAACAAAACTGCAACAGCGAAGCATGCTTCAGCTGCCACACAACGGTTGAAACGTCTATTCTCGCAGTGGCCAAAGATCAAGAAACGCGACACTCGTAGTAAGCTGGGGGTCAATAAGAACAGTAGGGGAGGAGGAGGAGGAGGTCATCAAAGAAGTAGCTGCGAAGCCCGAACTACGACACCAATTCCATTGCGCCAGAGATTTTCCAAGAGGACACTTTTTGTTGGGAGTAACAACCACCCTTTGTCGAGTACTACCCCTTGGCAGCGCTCAACTCCTTCCCTTACTTCGTTCTCAATATCGTCGTCGTCTCTCGGGTGTTCAAACAAACAACAAGGAGGTGCAGCTGTGGGGCCTACATCTGGCTGCCGCTCAACGAAAGATGAGGTTGATGAGAAGAAGGGAGGAGGAGGCCCACATCATGGCTTGGTTGTGAACAACAGCCACCACCACAACCACAGAAGGTCATCATCATCAGTGATAAACCAGTACTTGTGTTTCGGTTCTGTTCCCGGAGGTCCGCAAGCTCGAATGGAGGCTCCTCCTCTTCATCCTCCTCTAGCTGGGCTGCACCCGCCATTTGAACTATATGGACGCTCTGTTCTGTCTACTGCTTGACATATATGGATTGTGGGGGGGGATTCAATGATCTCGCTCTCAGGTTACTGCAATGTACTAGTAGTAGTAATAATGAATTTTAATTTCAGATGCCTTTGCATGGTTGTTGTTGTATGAGTGAATCTCCAAAATTGTTAAAACCGTGATTTAAACCAGAATGCAGAATAATCGCTCATCCATTTATGCAACACTTTGACTATTATTATTTTCGCTTATAAATCTACTCCGTATAACAATTCAATGTATTTTTTTTTTTTGTAATTTGTAGTTAATAAGAAACAGGATACGGAGTGCTATTATTATCATTTGCTTTCTTTTAATAAATATATTGTTACCATAAAAACTATGATTATTCTTTTTGTATGGTCTATAAATAGCGATGAAACATTTGTTATTCAATAAGACTAGTATTATCAAATTGTATCACGGTATCTGAGTTAGGGTTCGTATCATGAGATCGGAACCTTCTGCAGAACCTCTAGCACTCACCCATGGAAACTTGTGCCAAATTAGGTATTTTCTTAAAGCAAGTCAAGTTTGGTTCCTCCGGTGAGGATCAAACTTGAGTGAGCTTTCCATGTAATCCTTAGAGATGGTTCTCCTACCAATTTCATGTGCCGAATTCAGTATATTTAAAACAAACTCTATACTTTTACCTTTCTTGATAATATCCCTCTTATCACCAAACTTAACATCAATCACCAAGTCTCCAAGAATAATTTTTGGTGTCGGGTTACAAATGAGAAATTTATAGCTTTGAATGAACGTCGTACTTGAGATTTGGTACCCCTACTTAAGAACCACATTCTAATTGACTGTAAGTGGGTGTATTGCATTAAACAAAACGTTGATGGCCATTTCGAGGTATAAGGCTCATCTTGTGGTAAAAAAATTATCATCAGAAGTATGATAATGATTAAAAGGAAACATTCTGCATGTTCTCAGATAGAAAATGATACGCTTTGTTACCTTTGGCGTTTCATCATGGTTGGTCTTGTCATTAGCTGGATGTCAGTAATGTCTTTCTACATGGCACCGTTATTAACGAAGAAATTTTTAAAGAGCAACTGGCGGATCACATAAATCCATAACAACTGCACCACGTTTGCAAGTTGCAAAAATCCTTTTACATGTTTGGTACACGCATTTGTCTTCTTTTTCAAGGTCATGATTTCCAGTGTTGTACTCATGGCACCAGCCTATTCATTATTCATTGCCCTCGAGGAACAAGCATCATTCTTGTCTGCGTTGATGATATTGACATTACTAAGAGTTGTCCAACTTCGATTTCTGAAATAACTCACGCTATGCATCAGGACTTCCAGTTGAACTTTTCAGGTCCTGTGCACTTTTTTTTTGCATTAAGGTGAAGCACACCATGGTTTTCGTTCTCCTATGTCAAACAAAGTACATGGTTGATCTTCTAGGACACGCATGAATGTAAAATGTAATCGTGTCATCACTCTTATGGTAGCCCAACATGTGATCACATTCGCCGATATTTAAAACGTAGCCTATAACATGGTCTTCTTTTTCAAAAGGGGGGACTTGATCTATTTGTTCTACTAAGGGCAAATATCGTGTCATGGATGCGGGTGGGGTAGAAGCTACATGGCTACGGTACATTACTGATGCACTAGGCATTCCTCCATCAAAACACCAACTTTAATGTGATAATAAGTTCACTCTTTTTGTGACCAAGAATATAAGCATGATCGTATGAAGCATGTCTGTTTTGATTGTCGTTTTGTGCGAGATGAAGTCACCGCATGGACCATGACCACTCATCATGTTTCTTCTTCTTCTGAACAGTTAGAAGGCATTCCCACAAGAACGCTTCCGTCACCTCCATTCTTGTACGTACTTGTGCTCCAAATTATCTATCGTCATTGTTGATGAGCTTACAAGGGATAATAGGAAATATGATATTATTATTACAATTTATTTTCCTTATTCTAGAGTTACGGTTAAATTGAAAAGTTATTTTATCAAGCATGCAATCATTTCTATATTGTTGAATTTGACTTTGACCTTAACTCTAACACTTTAGTTTTATTGTTTTTAAAGTAAATACTACATCCGTCTAGAAATGTATTTTTTGTGTTGACATACTTATTCAAGAGTATAAAAAGGTCTGAATCTTTCAAAAATGCTCCTACTTCAATTAGGGGTGAATTAATTATGTGGGTGTGAATGTTAAAGTGAAAGAGTGTTATCGACGTTACACATTAAAGGTAAGATAAAAAAAAGAAAGAATATTGCTAGATAAACTGAAAAGAAAGTGAGAAAACACATTTGTGGACGGTGGAGTATGTATTTGAGAGGGGACACATTTTTTTTTGGGTAATTTTGAATTGTTCAGATGTACCCAAAAAAGAGGAAAGAAATAAAAAGAAATAAAAAGAATTCTACATCGATGGAGTTGAAGGGCCGCGTGACAGATTTGATGAGAAATTTGAAATATATGAGCCTGGTTCATTTATGACAGCCCCGGGGTAGCAAAGGGGGGTGGGTCGGGTCATGTCTTGGGCCATAACCCACATTGTGGAGCATGTGTGATAGGTTGTCTTGAAAACACATTTGTTGTTTTATTACAAGTAGACATGGTTTCGGTTTCAAATTAGGTCTCGTTTGGGAACAATGTTTTCGATTAGTGTTATCGTTTTCAATAAAATTTTAATGGTGTATATTAATTCTGAAAACGCTAACGCTAACAACTACCGTTATATATCCTTTTCTAAACGCTAACGCTAATCTCTAACGTTGAGGCCAAACGGAGCCTTAAAAATTAAAACCACCGGGAAACTTTGTATCAACAATTTAAATATTTGATTGTCACGACCGGTCTAGAAATGTGAAAAAATAAGATTCACCATGTACCAAATTCACGTGTTGAACCCTATTTTATTTTGTTAGTGCTGAATTTGATTTTTAATAACCATTTTTATAACAATTTAGATATTAAAATATAAATATATATTAAATATAAACATAACAAGTAATTAGAATAATGAACATTTAATAATATGAGATCTTAAAAAGTTGGAGCCCCTGTGCGAGTGAACACCTTGCACGCTATCCAGGCCACCCATGTTGGTTGTGATACTGTAGTGGTTCCAAAAAAAATTGTATGATCAACTAAGTGATTTGTGTTAATTGTTTGTTTTTTTTAAATATATTTCGTAATTAGATAGAAAAGGATTCTTTGTGATGATGCAATAACCTCCATCATATGTGATGTCAATACTCTCACCAACTTTGAATCTTATTCATCGATCAAATGATAGAGAGTATGCTCTAATGTCTATTGTAGTGCTCATCAATCTCTCTTTCTCTTTTTTTTTTAAAGAAAAAGATATGTAATTTACAATACTTGTTTGTTTTTCAAAGAAATTATTACAAGTTTTTTATTATTAAATTTCTCCAGTCACTTTCTTGTTTATTTATTATTCACATGATCAAAATCTAATCACTTTCTTTTTTTATTTTCGTGACTCATTTGATAAAGTAATATTGTCATGTCATCTATTATTATGTAAAAGTTTTAATATGTAAATTTAATTTTTTATTTTATGGTAATTGTAAAATAAAATAATATCAATCAAATATGATAAACTGAAATAAGAGATTTAAATTATGACGAATGGAATAACATCGTTACATCAATATGAAAATCTTTTTATACTATATTTCTGCAATAATTCGGACTACCCATTATTTTAATTTGAAATTTATGGAGAAAAAGAAATGATTGATGAGAACACGGGGAGTTGAGAGTCAACTAGGTACATCGTGTATAGAAAACGCAATTGGGGGAAGAAGCTACAAACGCGTAACAAACGAGTGCACAAGTTGTGTTAAAAAGGACTGTTTTGTCAACCTTCTAACTAATCCCACTTTTTCCAACTCCACATTTGAATAATACCTCCAAACTCCAACTAAAGTTGAAACATTTTTCTCATATGCCGCTCTACATTTCAAAAGATTTATTTGGATAAGGATGATATATATATATATATATATATATATATATATATATATATATATATATATATATATATATATATATATATATATGTGGTAAGAATGTGACGCCTAAACTTGTTTTTTCAAGTAGTGTAAAAAAGTAATTTTGCACTGTTATTATACTCTTTTCATCTCCTATCAATTTAGATGTTGTTGAGACAATAGTTTACTGAATTTATTTTTAATTTAATTTATATAAAAGTTCATATAAAATTTAAAAATGAAACTCTAAACTCCCTCAAAACTCCAGGTATATTTAAACAAAAAACACAAAATAAGAAAATTTTAATTTTAAAAAGTGACAATTTTATTTTATTGTATTAATTAAAGAATGAAATTAAGAAACTAGATTGATTGAATATTGACTTTGAAATAAATGAGTGTGCAAATAAATTGGGATGGGAAACAATATTCTCTCTGTCCCAGACCGCTCCCGCCATCTACCTTTGATTTTTTTACATTCAAACAAGATTGACCTTTGACTTATAATTAAACAAAATTACTGTACAAGGTATAGTATTTATATAAAAACATATTTGAAAGTATTTTACAAGATAAATATAATAAAATTAATCCTATATCAATATTTAATATAATTTTATTTAATTAATGGCGAAAATTATTAATTTTAAATGTAAAATGTTAAAAATGGACAAATACTCTTAGATGGAGAAATTATTTAATAAGAATGCCTAATTTTTATGGAGTCTTTTTAGTAGGGCTTCAAAATGATTGCATCAGCCATGATTTTAAACTACTTTCTCCATCGCCAAATGATCTTCTCATTTGTTTTTTTGAGATCTTCAACGTGACATTTTAACTATTACAACAACAACAACAACATTTTAACTATTAATATCTAAATTTATACATAAATATGTATATATGATGAATATTTAATATTTCAAAGCTACGTTTCATAAAAAAATTATTGATAAAATATTAATATTGAAACACAATATATTTTTTTTGTATATATCAATGTGAAAATTTACAAATTTTGAAGAAGAAAAATGAAATAAGGATTATCATAATAATATCAAAGGAAAAGTCAATTAAATGTCACTGTAATAAGGGGTAGGTGGGGTGCGAATTTTCTAAAAAAAAAATGGAACAAGGAAGGAAGGAAGCAAATAATAGGATTAGAAGACTTTAGGAGTCAAAGTCAAAGAGAGGCAAAAGCGGGCCCACACGAATTCACTTCCTATTCCCGCGGCCTGCCAATATTTGCATTCTTCCATTTTATAATAACGCCCCCTCCCTCCTCCTCCTCCCTCGCACTCAATCTTCCTTTATTTTGCGGGTGTGCCCATATACATACATACAATATAATTGTACATCGTCTTTGTCAAATCTGCCGGCCGGCGAGCGGCCATTCTTCTCTTCTTCATCATCGGTCACCGGAGATCTACAGTGAGTGATGACGACGGGGAATGCTGCTGCTGCTGCTACATCCAAGCCTGTACGTACAGCCAGCCTCTATTTCATCTCATTTCATCCATGCATTAATTCTCAGCTAGCTCCTCCTTCATCCATTTATCCTGCCATTGTTAGGTTGTTCAATTTGTATATGCTAGACAGATTATATTTATTTTTATATGTATACATATATAATCATCAATATATAATTAACCTCATCATTAGATTCAGATCCATCGCCTGTACGTCTTAATTGTATGTTATACTCATATTTTTTTTATTCTCACGCACGCACGCACCCAAGCAATTTAATCACAATCGATGAAAAGAGTAATGTGATGTGATGTGATGCAGAGAGATGAACGATCGTCAGAGGAGAGAGCAATCGACGAGTGGCTTCCGATCACCTCCGCAAGGAACGCCAAGTGGTGGTATTCCGCTTTCCACAATGTCACCGCCATGGTTGGCGCCGGTGTCCTTGGCCTCCCTTACGCCATGTCTAACCTCGGATGGTATCTATCTATCTAATATCCCTCTGTCTCTATCTCTACGTACTCATATTTCCTACGGAGTACAATGTGAAGAAACAACAAATTAATGAAAAAGAATTGAATGGATTGATGATTTCAGGGGACCTGGCGTCTCGGTGATGGTGCTATCTTGGATAATCACTCTCTACACGCTGTGGCAGATGGTGGAGATGCACGAAATGGTCCCCGGGAAGCGATTCGACAGGTACCACGAGCTGGGGCAGCACGCCTTCGGCGACAAGCTCGGCCTCTGGATCATCGTCCCCCAGCAACTCGTGGTGGAGATCGCGGTGGACATCGTGTACATGGTCACCGGAGGCAAATCCCTCAAGAAGTTCCACGACCTCGTCTGCGAGGACTGCAAGAACATCAAGCTCTCCTACTTCATCATGATCTTCGCCTCCGTCCACTTCGTGCTCTCCCACCTCCCCAACTTCAACTCCATCTCCGGGGTCTCTCTGGCCGCGGCCGTCATGTCCCTGAGCTACTCCACCATCGCGTGGGGGGCTTCGGTGGACAAGGGGGTGCAGCCCGGCGTGGACTACAGCTACAGGTCCTCCACCACGACGGGCACTGTTTTCAACTTCTTCAGCGCGCTGGGTGACGTGGCGTTTGCGTTTGCGGGCCACAACGTGGTGTTGGAGATCCAGGCCACCATCCCTTCCACGCCAGAGACCCCTTCAAAGGGACCCATGTGGAGGGGAGTGGTCGTTGCTTACATCGTCGTGGCTTTGTGCTACTTCCCCGTCGCCTTCATCGGATTCTGGATGTTCGGGAACCAAGTGGAAGACAACATTCTCATCTCGCTGCAGAAACCTGTGTGGCTCATTGCCATGGCCAACCTCTTTGTTGTTGTTCATGTCATTGGAAGTTATCAGGTTCGTCTTTATTGATTAATTACATATTCCTTTATTCGATCCTTTGAACATCATCGGTCTCCAACCGTTATATATATATATATAAGTTTTGATGATGGGTGCAGATCTATGCAATGCCGGTATTTGACATGATAGAGACGGTGCTGGTTAAGAAAATGAGGTTCAGGCCTACCTGGTACTTGCGTTTCATTACCAGAAACATATATGTGGGTAAGTGATCGGAACCAACAATAAAACACTCAAACAAACTAGCTCCACCTACTACTCGATCTCTTTCTCTGCTTCCCACCACTTCAGTTCTTCTGCAATGAAACAAATGATGAATGGAATTATTCATTAATTAATAATGGGTTTGTTTGGATGCAGCACTCACAATGTTTATTGCCATTACCTTTCCCTTCTTCGGCGGGCTTCTTGGTTTCTTTGGAGGATTTGCTTTTGCCCCAACAACATACTTTGTAAGCAGCCCCTCCCTCCTGCTTCAATATATGTGTGAACATTCGCTCGGATCGTACTAATCAAAACATACATACAACAGCTTATTATTAACGAGGTTAAATGATGTGGCTTGTGCTCTCTTTTGCAGCTCCCGTGTGTGATGTGGCTTAGCATTTACAAGCCCAAGAAATACAGCCTTTCTTGGATCACAAACTGGGTAACGTCCTCCTCCAACCCAATCTTTGTTTACTCTATTGTAGTAGTAGTAGTAGTAAATGATATGCTGAAAAATGTAGACTGTTTTCTGGATTCATTAATTGTAATCGGCATCAACGCGGCTGATTGGGTTGCAGGTTTGCATTGTTCTGGGAGTCGTATTGATGATCATAGCTCCCATCGGCGGTCTACGAACCATCATCATACAAGCCAAGGACTACAAGTTCTACTCTTAGTTATTATTAACAACGCCACCTCCATCTGTCTCTCAACACTAAAATTTATACAGATATCTATACATATATACACGCACACATAGGAAACCAAATGCATTTTCCGAGGGACTGGACTTGTGATGGTTCCAAATCCGCAGTGCTTACACGAGAACTGTTTAATGTACAGAGGAAGTGATTATCACCCGGAAACGAGGAAGTCTGTCTGTTTTTTTCTTGTACTCTACTCTTTTCATCAATACATATATGCATGCACTGAAACATGCAGTACAGAAGATGTTCTTTTTATGGTTCAAAATTATTTGTAGAGTTACAAAGTTGTATGTGGGGAATTGAAGTGAATTTATTGGTATACAAGAGTCCATCTCCAAATCATTCTCATCGCATTACTCTGAGTATATATCCTTCCGTCCATGAGTGTGTTGTGTCTTTTCTATGATGTTGAGTGGGTTATCAATATTTCATATCATAATTTTGTGACATGCTCCGCATCTATTTATGAACAAATATATATTCTCTCCATCCCAAAATAAATTACACTATTCGAACGACGTGCAAAATTTCGTAACTTTTAGAATTACTTATAAATGGTGTAAAAATAAAAAGTACAAATTACATATTTAAAAATTACTCCAAAAGTTCTACAAAATAAAAAGTGACATAAATGCTTTACTTTACTCTGTCTAATAATAAATAAAAACATACAAATAAATACTCCGTAAAAGTTATTAAGAGACAATTTGAGATTGGAGAATATATTTTTTGGTTGGTGAAGTATATCAATGAGCGATTCTATTGTGTGAAGCGGGTGACAGTACATAGTTTTTAGACAGGTATAAAAGGACTAAAGCATCAAAGTGGAAGAGAACTTGNCCCCCCCCCCTCATTCACATAAAAAAATTACGTAGTAATAATTAAAATAATAATCGTAAGAAAAACAAATACATGTTTATATTCCTTCTATATATAGTTTAGGTATATACATCAGTTTCAAATGCTAAGCTTCAACATTTGAAAAAAAACTTCAGCATTTCAAAATTAACTTGCATCATTAAAAATAATCTAAAACATTAATGCTAATTGAAAACGTTATTCCAAACAAGTATATATAGAGGCAAGCGAACTCTTATGCATGTTGATAGGCAGTTCCCAACCAATCTCATTGTAAGGTAACCACCAGAAAGGAGAGCCAAATTCATCAGCAGTTTTAAGTAGATAAGACAAGTCGCATTCCACAGATCCAACATTTCACGCTTAATGAAACAATAGAACTCGCTTCTTCTAATAAAATCTGGTGTAATACTACTACGTTAACTCAAAAAAAATTGATAGATAGTTTGTTGAGAAACAATGGTACCTTTTTTCTCCATTTTGATAGATAGCAGGGAGCAAACTAAGGTTATAGGGAAGTACTACATGTATTCTAAGATGTGATCTGTGACTTGCACATGAATCCGAAGCAAAGAACAAAATGAAAGAGGAAGACACTTTTGACATTTTAGTCTCAAGAGATGTATGTTCAATGCGATTATATGCCAAGTAGGTAGGTGATAAGACAAACAGACTTGCAGTGACTATTCCTGCTTTTAGCTTAACCAACTGACCCTGGCTTTGGTTTTTTCATATGTTGAACTTGTGAGGAACCCCGTCCATATCATCAAAATCAAATCTCTGTCTATCTCTACCAACCTGAGAAAATGTATGTGTAACCAGCCAGACATTAACACAAAATTTACCCCCCCCCCCACCGGAAAGTATGGAACAAACAAGTTAGGGGGCGCTTGCCTTGGCAAGGTAGGAAAGGTCGCATGACATACGTTCATCCATAGACATTAGCTTTTTTGACAGCGTCATCATCCTGGGACATGGCAGAGGCAGAAATATAATCATCATTTGTATCACGTACTTAATGCTGGGAGATTTTAAAAGACTATTACGTGCCTCACCTCTGTATTGATGAATCAATGTGCTCAATCATTTCACAGGTCTTATATTGCTCAGGATCCTCGAGAAATCTAACCATTCCATCTTTCTGATTTATAGTAGCATAAATTTCACCGTCTTCAATCTAGTATCAAACAACTTCTAGGTCAGGCGTGAGCATGCATACACACAACTACAAAATCCGAAGAGAGAGAGAGAGAGAGAGAGAGAGAGAGAGATTTTTACCATTTGTAGGACATGCATTTCTGCCTCCTTGGGGTTCCTTAGCTGGACGGCATTAGCAATATCTTGAAGTGAAAGGGTGAGATATGTTTGAGTCAATCTCTGAATATTGCGTTTATGAATAGATGCCACCACTTGCTGCACCAATCCGAGATTATTATCCTGGAAATTGAATATCAGAAAAAAACAGTTTCATTTGCCACAAATTAGAAAAGGAACTCTGTCTGAACCCTAGCACGAAGACGAAAATAGTTCTTTTTTAAGCACAAAACTCACATTTTCATACTTGTCTTTGTTTGTCTGTACACATATCTCAAGCTCAGAGATTTTTCCAAGGCTATAACTGTTTGCCAACTCCAGGTAGGGCTGCTCAAATGAAGGGGAAAAAAGGGTTTATCATGAAGCCGTTACTAGTAATATTGTTATCATAAGATAATGACTCAATATTTTCATACTTGCAATGCACACACCAGAAGTTGTAGCTAAGCTGTTAAATATACACAGGAAGTTACCACTTGCAATACACACCCCAAAAGTCGTAGCTATGCTGATAAATACACAACGGAGGTTTTAATTGAAATTGTTCAGCATCTGTAGCATCATTGGCTTCTGTTGGAGCATTATCCAGACAAGACCTATGAATGCTACAGATCCATGTGTGGGTTTTTGGTTTTAAGATGCATGCACAGTATCCGATAGCCTACCTGAGAGTGGTTCTTTAGATTCCTTTGAGCTACAGAAGATGTATACTTTGGGAAACTGGTAGAGAACTGTCATCACAAGTAAATGAAGATAAATTTCATATACACAAAGCCACAAAGTCATAGAAGTTGAAGAATGGTGTTACACACAGCAAAACTGACCTGTCCATTCTGAACTAGTGAAACTAGTATGTACTTCTTGTATGCCTCAACTGCTATTGCATTTAAAGTGGACATTGGTGCTGTTACTACCTAAGAGCATGGCAGTCAAGCTTGAGAATACAATTAACTGCTTTTAACTTAATACAGGTAGCTATAGAATTAATCAGATAAAGGAAGGAAAAAAAGAGGCATCTCCCTTCATCCTTCCTGACCAAATTTTAATTACAATGCAGTCATACATTATGAAAAAGCTCCAAGGCTTTACGAAATTCCTTCTGTCCAATGCAAATCATACCCCTGCAACCATGCCCAACATGCAACGGAATTAGGCATAGCCCTGTACACATGCAAATATAACAAAACCACTATCCCAAAGATGTCTGCAAAGGGTTATGCAACAATCAAGTTTATAGACTTAAATGGAAATTATAGAACACCATAGAAAACCCACAGAAGCCATTGTGTTATTGTTTTTATATCTGAGTTATTGTTTTGTTAAGACCGTATATTCTCAACTTTGTACTGCCCAATCAGTGATTAGGAAATCTAGAGCCCACTGCTAGGCTCCACTTGAGCATCCTCAGAAATCGACTCCATTGATTCCAATCCAATTATCCCGAGAAATATTAATTGCACTGAAGTCGTTGGACTAAATTATGTCTGATTTCTGAAGACAAATATAAATGGTCGAACAAGTTCTTAGACATGTGTTGAGGAAAAAAGTTATATTTACTCATGTACACAACTTCCTGCATAAATAAGGTGCTACTTTCAAATTAAACTTATCAAAACTAAAAATCATCAGACAGTAGTTTTTTAGTTTTGTAGGTGATTCTGCAGAAGAAATAGAAAAGACTTAGGATGTAAGATCACTGGACTTCCATAAGTCGTTCAACTCACCCATAGTAGCAATATAGGAAAAAGTCCTTCGGCTGATCGACCTCAAAGATGTCATCCTCCAAAATGGAAAAACCAGTCTGATAGCACTTCGCCAGTAAGCACAGAAGAAGAAATTCGGGATGCAAGGGTGTTAGTTGCTCAGAAGAGAGCCGTAGTTTCTGAATGGCTGTCAGCATGGGACCCACACCTTGTAGAGGAGCTCTTAGTATCAGAACTTGCTCCTTGAATCTTTTACAGACAGATATGACTGGGAAAAAACCAAGATGAAAAAAAAAAAAGAACAAATAAGCAACGATTATAATGATGAAGATAATGGTGGATGGGGATAATACAATAAATTGCAAAGGAGTGATGATAAGTACATTTCTCAGGTGCCAAATGGATTTGATCTGCAGCGCATTCACAAATAAATGTGGCGACACACACAACTAGTCCACGGGCTTGCTCCGTTGGAATGGGGGCAGACATGGATGCATCCCTGTTTATAACAAAATACAAATGAGAAGCACACTCGTGATAGAAAACTTACTGAAGAGAAGACAATCAGAGTATTGCTGGGTAAGAAACACACAAACTATCTAGACTCGCTAGATATAAAAAAAAATACACAATACATCCGCATTATGATTCATTCTTAAGTGAACTACGAATGAAAAGAGGGAAGACAGCGACAACAAACAAACCCTAAAGTTTAAAGCATAGCGTAAAGAAACAAGGAGTGGGCTTACAGGAGATAGAGATAACCCAAAGAGTGGAGAGAAGGGTTGAGTTGGGCGAGCAGGGGAAGCAAGCGAGTCGACTCGGAGTGGAGAAGCTCATCGGACTGTTTCAGAAAGGCGTGAAGCTGAGAGATGTCTGGGAAACCGTTTGATAAGTTTTGGATTTGAGCCAACACCGATTCCACGGTGTTCACGCTCAGATTCATCTTTTCTTCTTCCGGATGCTTTCCACCGCTGCTCTCTTTCTTCTTCTTCTTCTTCTTCTTCTTCTTCTGCCGGTATTTTACTGGCTTTTATCCGCCCTCCGTAAAAAGTAAGCGTAGGCGCGTGGCACTGATAGTGTGGTAACTGGAATTGGGCTTTAAAGCGTTGGTCCAACCCGGTGAAACCCGTTGCAAGTGAGACCCATCAACCACCCCATTGCCATTGGACTTTGCTTAAAAAGTTCAAAATAAGATTATTAGGGGGAGTATTGCTCTCTCACACCCATCAACCATTCCATTTCTTTGTTTCATTATATTACTCCATAATATACAATATAAATTGAGAGCAACTAAAATTCAAAATTCATATGATTTGATTCAAAAAAATTAAATTAGACAAATATATTGAGATGGAGATAGCATTAAGTTTTTTAAATGCACAAGATATTGATATAATCCGTACAAAGTACTCCATAATTGTTTGTTAATAAAGTGTTGCGTGTGTATATATAGGCAAATTCTTAGGGCATCTCCAACCCACAAGCTATACTTTAAAATATAAATGTTATAGAAGGCGCAAATAGAATTAAAAAAATTATAAAATGACTATTCCACAATAATATGCATGATACCGTTGTAGACAAGCACGGCTAAAACATAAAACATTTTTATGTCCAATCATACATGACTCGGTTGGAATTATTCTTAGCACACAATATCAGCTAGAAGCTAAAATATAGCTATTCACTAATTTTTCTTCTCCGACGGAGGTGGCATAATTTAGCAAGTCAGCTAAATTTCATCAATCCACCGCTATATATAGATGTTTCCATGGTATTTTAGCATTTAGCATTTCAATTTAAGTTTTTACCATTAGAGATGCTCTTATATTCATTCCGTTTAAAAAGAACATTTAACACTTTCTCTTTTTGGATGTTTCAAAAAATACATAGTACTCCTTCTGTCTTACTCTTTTTGTCCACTTGCATTTTTACACTTTTACCAAGGAATGCTAAATCAATAGGGGAAGTTACAAAAATACCCTCACATTTTTTTACGTTTAGGTGGTTTAGGTGGAATCCTGACAAGAAATCCAACAACATCTTGAACATGGATCGACTCTTCTTTGTCACTCTTGCAGTTATGAGATCTTGTAGTCAATTGAGAAGCAATTACGGCAAGTCTATCTGCCACACCCATTGCCGATAAAGACAGAAAGAGTAAGAAATTAATGACAGATCTATCTTGCCGGGATAGGGAATCGAGAAGCAAAGATTGCAAATCAAGAAGATCCATGATCACATTATCTATCTCGCCAGAATAGGAAATCGAGAAGCAAAGATGACAAATCAAGAAGATCGGTGCTCACCGGAATAACTGCATCTACTCTTGCCGGTAAATCATAGCAAATCGATGAATAAGCAGCACCCTTTGTCAGTAAATTATCGACAATAAGGACGAATCTATGCTCGCCGAAGATCTACGCCCAATGCATATACCGTACTCTGTAAGTTGGCTAATGTGACATATGAGGGTATATATGTCATTATATTACTTATTCCCTTACCAAAAATAGAAAGTAGACGAATAGACAAAAAGAGTAGGACAAAAGAAGTATTACTTAAATATATTTTGTTTGAAATAATGAACATGTGACTCATAATTTGTTTGAATTTCTCAATTTCAAACTTTATCGTACATCATGAAAGTCTATTTTTTTTGGGACGAAGAGGGTATTACATAAATGGGCATTTATTTATTTTAATAAATTGTTTGTTTAAGAAGGTCACTGTGATCCGTATTTATAGGGAGTAGTTTGGTAGGACACTAGAGAAATTCGATTATCACCACAAAAATGAAAGAGCAAGATATCCTATATAACGGCATCACAACTCACAAGACAGTAATCTTCATTCATAAAAAAAAAAAAAAAGAAGTTTTGTACTCAAGATAATAATTTGGATAATCCACTTCAAAAATAAAATAAAATAAAATAAAATAAAAAACAGTACTGAGATTGATAATTCATTTCACCAGACACAGACACAGACACCTATATATATAATAAACCTTTCAACTTCTTGAATAAAGCTTTCAAAAAAAAAATCTTCTTCTAGAATGAAAATTTATGGGCAGGGGTAGTAGGAAGGAAAGAGATGAGCAAAAAAAATCCATATATATATATATATGGTTAGTTAGTTAGAACTTAGAAGAAGAAGAGGAGGTTTTGAAAGCGGTGTGAGTCAGGGAGAGACATGGAGGCTGGGTTGAAAGGAGAAGCCAGTAAAGAGGTGAAGGGGAAACCTTTTAGAGACGGGGCATTTGACCGACCACCTCCACTGTTTCTGCTTCACGTCAAACAGAAGAAGTGCAGGGGCTCCGTAGCTCTGGATGTATACCAGCTCATCACCGCCGCTGCTCGCAAACACATCATCAAACTCCCCAAATCCGTGGAAGTACGCCGGTGGCATTCGCGCTATATCCTCCCACACCTTCCCCCCACCACCCTCACCATCATCTTCATCATTCAGCAACCCCCATATCCCAATCCCCTTTATAACATCCGAGCGATCCGGCTTCCCAATCCCTCCCACCATTATCAGCCTCCCCTTGAGGTTCAACAACCGACCGCACGTCAGGAAACACGGCACCGGCACAAAACTCCTCATCAACGAACCCTCCCTCCCTCTGCTCGTCAGCTTATAAGATACCAACCCGTGTCGGTTTTCTGCAGGACCGCCTCCCGTGGAGTAGATCAAAGAATACAATATGCCATCGCAAATTACGCTCTCGTCCCCACCCCTCCACCCTTCTAATCTCTCTGTGAACGGGGTTGCCCACGTCATTGTTTCTGAGTCGTATGTGTGGATGGACAGATCCCACTGAAAGAAGTTTCCCGGCACTTGTTTAGACTTGAGAACCACAACGCTGTAAGTCACGTCGCACCTTTGAGCCTTCCTCTCAACTGAGATTGCCAGAGCACTGTAGTCAGAAAACCTGAGATCTGCAAACTCCTCAAGCTTCTTGCTGCGCTTGGTTATGGGGTTACATATGCAGAGCTGGCTTCTACTGTCATTGTCCATAAAGCAGACTAATCCACAAGACGAGGCAATGAAGCAACTAGAGGTCTCAATGCACGGGAGTTCAAACCGATACCACTTCCTGAGGAAGGAATCGTAGACATAACCAATAGGCTCATATGGGCTTGTGAACATAAAATACCAAGGTTTCTTTGGCAGGACCTGTGAGAAGTTCCATAAAAACTGCTTTGAGTTCACTATCTCGTGCCACCTTTTGCAGACACATCCGGCCCTGAAAAGGCTGGCAATGGGCAGGCAGGCCAGAATCCGCTCCAACAGATCATCGGGCAATATCACATCAATAAGAACTGGGACTACAGCACCATCGCTTTCGTCATTGCGCATGGATGATGATGATGATGATGGATTGAACCCAAGACTATGATTACTATCTCTCGAAATGTGGTCATAGCAATGACTGACCCATGATGTTTCTTCTCCTTTCATGATATAAACGATGAACAAAAACCTGAACACGGGACGAGTAATTGAGAAAGTAAAATAAGCTTTCAAATCATCTACTCAAACAAAAAGAAATAAACAAATACAGGCACGTGTATGTATGTGCGTGTGGCTAAAAACATCCAGCAATTAGATATGTTATTTACATTAAACAATGCAGTTGATCAATCCCATTGTCAAGGGAAAAATAATCATTCTTGGCGGCACTGGCGTTGTTCTAAACACTACCAACATCTTCAAACTTGAAAAGATAGCTAAAAGATTTTCACCTTCAAGAGTATTAATTATTCGACATTTATTCAATGATCTGTCTGTTCCAATTGAGTATTAAAAGATATCCGAACTGGAAGGCCCAACATAAGAAAAACCTCAACCACAAACCCTGAAAAGACAGCCTAAGCACACAACAGTTCCAGTTATTTAATTAGATTAGGAATACCAAAAAACTTGCATCCTTAAATGACATGATGGGATTCATGTAAAAACTAAGACAAGTGACTAACAGTGTGAATCAAGATAAAATTTGAAAATTACTTAAGCTGCTATACCTTTTTGACCAAAAATATAACAACAGCAACAACTACAACTACAGCAATCTAGTAGAATCCCACGGGAGTAGGGTCTGTACGCAGACCATACCCCTACTCGGAAGTAGAGAGGCTGTTTCCAAGAGACCTACAACTCGAGTAACATAACACAGAAAGCACAGAGCACGGAAAAAGAAGCATGACTAATGGGAAGTCGTTGGAGCATGCATGTAGTGAGATAACCTATTGACAGCAAAAGAGACATCAGACCATAAGGAGTAACATCCATAGTAAGATGGTGCACCATGGGTTCCGTCTGCAAACTATGTAAATCTGTGTAAACTTTATTATTTTTTTAAAAAATAACACTATATATGTACACACACATACACACACACACAGATATATATATATATATATATATATATATATATATATATATATATATATATATAAAATGAACAAAAGAAACACAGGTTCTATTATGATTGAATTAGATGCCCCTAACTATGGCATTTTCAAACACAACAGCACCAAATTCGAATAAATGGTAAGGAGCACAACGTGAACTGTACCCGTGATATCATCAATTCCGGGTTTTAAAAAATCTAACCATGGATGAGCAGGTGCAAAATGAGTTTACCTCAACTTCTAAGTATTGATCTTTCTGAGATTAGTGGCCGAATGTAGACCGCCAAGTATAAAACGTTGCCTTTGCAAATACCAAGTGTGTAACTCTCTAAGACAAAAATGAGAGGGAAAAATAAAGAGAAGTCAGTGATAAAGTTTAATATGAACCATTAACACAGATCAATAAAACATCTTCAATCATCTGAATGATAAAAAGTGGTGAATCAAACATGAAGGACAAACGGAATTTCAAAATGATACCTCCAAAAGGTATAATTTTATCCATGTCATTTATATAACTATCAATAACAACAGGATATGAAATGATAATTGTATCAAAGGACTGATATATGAAATGAAATTTTTGTCCAAGGAAAATTATTCAATGGCCCTAGAATACGCTTTTATTCAGGATATAAAGTGATAATTGTATCCAAGGACTGATATATGAAATGAGAATTGTGTTCAGGGAATTTTCATGTCTATAGATGAGAGATATCGATCATATGATGCAAGATCGAAGTAAATATTTCACTACTTTTTTTAAAATAACATGCTCCTCATTTAAAGAGGTTATCCTTAAAAGAAGATCGCAATCACATTAAAGAGAAATTTATTTGGCTTCATGACTAACCTGACACTGAATAACAAATGGATAAAAAACATTCAACCGAATAAATAGAAAAGCTCTTAGACTGTTTTTGGTGAGCAAAAGATGAATGGGTTCAGGAATGAGTTCCTTAATTTCTTTTAGTTTGTGTTTGGTAAACAGAAAAGGAATGAGTTCAAGAAGAATGGAGTGACAACCCCCCCCCCCAAATGAGGGTGTCTTAATTCCCCAAAAAATGAGAGTGTCTTAGGATTAGGATGCCATAGGCCCATAGCATTCTTGAAGGTGCAACAGTCAATGGCAAGTTGTAAAAATAACATAACCAAGTGAAGTATTAAAAAAAAGAGTACAACTCAAAAATAAACCTCAGCCTAAGAAAATCTTTTATGGTGTGTTTAGATATGGTGATTTGATTTGCAATTCCAGATTTGGAATAGATTTCATGTTAGTTTGGATGCACCAGAGAACTAATTTTGGGATTCCACTCAATTCCATCCGTAATCTAAAATGATCAGCATATGGAATTTTCAAATGAGAAGTATAACCATGTGATTCTGAATTCCTCAACTCATCCCACCCTTCTCCCTAATAAACTAATTCTCTTTTCTAATTTTTTTTTATATCAAGAACACCAAATCATCAATCCTAACCCATCAAGCTATCTTTCTTGGTTAAAATTTTAGATTTTCAATTCTTTAAAGTTGCAAGAGAAAGGACTTGACATTGAAATACTGAAATTGATATTTTGGGATTCAAAATCTTGAATTTGAAATGAAATCCAGAATCCAAACATGATCTTAGAGAGAACTTGTTAGCTTGGAATTCATTCCACATGAAAAAAATATGTTAACAAAAAAGCCATAGTGTTCAACAATCACCACGTTCATGCCCTTACTACTGAGAAAATCCTCAAGCTCTCGGACATTTTCACATCAAACACATATGGACATACCTGCAAAAGAAGAAAAGGCCAGATTTACTACAATATGCAAACCAGTAAAAACTAAATAGGTGATGAATCGGGGATAATATACCATGGTCGACTTAAGCCAGATTAAGAATAGTACCCCCAAAAAACGATAAAAAAAACAAAATAAAAACATAATAATGGGTGGGAAATGCAGAGGTTCTCCATTTAGTTTTTATACAGATTCATCACCACTATACGATTTTCAATGATGCGATTGGGTGTTGAAACCAGAAATCGGTATGAATACTTTTGAAAAAAAATCAATACCTTGCTTGAGTATTCTCTAGTATTGTATCGTTGCGGACAGATTCCCCACCAGTATCATGGAAGCACTTATTTTCTTAGAAAGTGGGATATAATGCAATCAATCGATTTAACTGATCTTTGACTGACGATTTTGAAGTAAAATCTGAGAGAATTATGCTCCAAAGTATGAAACTTGAGAGGAGGAAGAATTTAAGAAAGAACAACCCCCAAATTATCTGAACCTGGATAAAGGAAAGCTAAGCATGCGGCCTGGCCCTATGATGCGAGACCACAAATCGACGCCAATGGAACCAAATGCAACTAACGAGCACGGTGGGGTGGGCCGCACGAGTTGGGTTTCATACGGTCCGTGTCCAGTTTTATTCAAACCATTCTAACATTGTTCATGTGTAATTTTACCTCTCTTTGTCTTTTATTATTTAGGATCGGGATAGAATAGAACGGGTTTGAGTTGTCTTCCTTTATCATTATTCAAAGTTAATTTATTTCATTTTTGCACATTAGGTGGGGAAATTTAGCCGACATTAATATTTTAGATTTTTACACTTTCACGGGAGAATAATCCGTCATTAAATTTGGAAGGGCAATGCTCCGCCTCTAAATTAAGAAAATATGTCAACATTGAATTAGTTGATTTTTTAAAGTTCTTAGTTGCAAATAAAACCACTTATAATTGCTCCTTTCTTAGTAGCTGGGGATTAATTCGCAGGTAATTAACGGTGAAATCGAGTCTGCCGCCAATGTTTCACAGCTAATACGCGAAATTCTACTCCTACCGTCTCAATTTAGAATGCACGTTTTCAATTTAATTTATACGGAGTATGATAGCTGATGTGGAATTAAAAATAAAATTTACATATACATGTGTTTCGTGCATCATCTAAACCAAGACTATAATAATATTGTACGTTTAAATCTTTTAATGAATTGCAACGTAGATCAAGCCAAACATTAAGCAACTAGGTGAATGGTAAGAATAGTGTTATACCGGAGTAATAACATTATCCCTACAAGAAGACATTTTGAATCTTATTATTTTGATAACATTTGAAGAATATTAACAACATAAATAAGACTCATAAAAAAATGACTCAATGACTAGTTTATAAATCTAACTCCCTAATAGGATGCTTGTGGTGTCGTTAAATGCTTTGAAGAGCATAACAATTTAAGTGCAAGCATAAGGCAAAATAAATGCATCGTGGGAATTTTTTTGCAACATGTGACCTATATGTGAAACCGATTGGTTACATGACAATCGACGCACATAATTTTCCTAACAATACCTTGGTAGTACTAATTGTTCATTTAAATTCGAATTTGATTGGTCTCCCATGTACGTGATCACATCCCCAATTGATTAGACTAAATGAGTAGTACTGTACTTAAGAGGACATCAATCCAAATGGTAGTCGAGAGGATGTCTACACGTGTGCCACGAGCTTTGTCTTCTCTTTCGACACATGAGAACGCTCCAAGGACATGGGTATCAAAGTATCTTGTACTTGGTGTACTGGTTCGGGGGACCTGGAGAGGATGAAACCGTTTATAAGTGTGCGTGAAACTGCTTTTGAAGTGCATACCACATAAACACTCTTTATATGTGTGTTTATACTTAGGAGTGCTCATAGTCCCTACTGAAACAAACCTCATTCCAAAGTATAGTTCTCAGAACCGCATGCTAAGAAAGTGAATCTTCCAAAAAGTCATAAACAAGAAAACATATACCACATTAGAGTTGAACTGAATGAGATGGTTTTCAATGCAGAGATTAAAGAAACCTCGGCTGGCCTGAAAGGGAGCAGCTGCATGTCAAGAGTAGACACTATTAGTAGCATAGTAATACAAATTAAAAAATTTGCAGCTTATGGATATACGGAGTAACTATCAAACTTCCCGCGTTAGCCCAGGCCTCGGTGATACGTCGTCAAGATACCAATTTTGCAGTAGTTTATCATACCATTGGCTCAAGGACTTACAACACTCAAAAAGTACTATTAGGTGTACACGGTAAATAAAATATCAAGATTAACATAACAACACAAAGGAAATGCCTTAGATATTCAAAGGTTTTATGAAATGGCAGTATTTCCAATATGAACCTCTTGATTGCCTCGAAAACTATTGATTGATATTCATCTCTTTCTGCCACCTCGTTCCCTGAGTGAGAGATTAAGTGCTTCTCCAGGGGAAACATTGTAATATGCAAGTGACAAATTGTCCTTGAGAAACCCAGCCTTTCCACTCAGCTTCTGCTTATTTGCAGGAAGCTGAATCTCGCCAGAAATCTTCTCCTTCAAACTACCAACAGTTTCTGACAAGGATTGCACTGAAATTTGCAATATCTGCCCTTTGAGATTTCCTTCATCAACATTTGGTACAGTAATGCTGACTCGGGCAGGTCCCTGCAAAAAAGGGAAAAGAAAATAAAACAGAACACAAATTAGAAACAAATAAGCAAAACAGAAAAGAAAAAGTTCTGAAAGGACATCAAAGCAAATTATTTTCATACCGGATGCTTAGCCAGAAACTCGTCTTCAGGAATTAGTACAGATTCATCAAGCTTTTGCCTTTTAGGCTCTGGTTCCTCAGGGAGCGGCGGTGGAGCTTCCTCAGATGGAGGCGGTGGGGGCATTCCATGGGGCGGCATTGGAGGTGGTGCGATCACATTCATTCCAGGCTGGGACATTGGATAGGGAACAAAGGGTCGAGGAGGGCCCATTGGTGTAAATTGTGAACCATGTGGTGGTGGTAATGAAATGTTAGGAGCATTGATGGACATAGACGTGTGCATTGGGGGACGGTTTACCATAAGATGTTGCCCAGGCATGGGTGAGATGGTAGGGGGTGGAGGTTGCACTTGTGGGATTGTGTTCATCACAGGAGGCCTGGGAATTGTTTGGACAATAACACCAGGGTTACCGGGGGTTGGATAAGGGTAACTATTAGGCAGGCGAGGAATGTTTAGTGCTAGGCTAGGCGGCGGAGGAAGTGGTGGGACTGATGGCAATCCAGGCCTGGGAGGAGGTGGTGCTTGAGGGCCAGGAAGGTTCCTAGAATCATTTACAAAATCATACTGGTCTTCGGCACTGTTTTGGGACAATGCCTGGCTGGCTGTGCGACCAATGCTGCCTGTGTGACCATCCCAGATGACCTGCTTTGGTTCTTCTTTTTTCTTCTCAATCTCAGCCTTGACTGCATTTGATACTTCTTCTTCGGTGGTACCAAAAATATCAGGACGTGTCCTAGCAAGCCCAACAATATTTCTAGAAATTTCATCATCCTGAGCAAGGGTTGTATCCCTAATCTTGGCAAACATTCTCTCCTTCTGCTCCTTGTATTTAGGATCAATAAGAGAGATCCTCATATGTTCAGACATCTCACTGATTGGAATCATCTCCCCAGTTATAGGAGAGATGACATACTTCGTTGGGTCTCTTTCTGAGAGCATCCTTTCTTCCGGCCTTTTCCAGTTCTTCACAATTCTCATAGGTGGCTCCTGATCCTCTGTAATTGCTTTCACTTCAGAATTTTGGACAGGGTTCTCCTCAAGGGTAGTGGCTCTCATGCCTTCTTCAACAAGCTGAACCTCCTCTTCATCCATCTCCATTTCAACCTCTTTCCCTGGCTCAACAAATTCTTCTTCCTCATCCATAGATGATATCTTGCTTCTCCTTATAACCTCCTCAAGGGTCATAGGAGGGGGCAAATCCTGATCCTCATCATCTGCAAAGTCTATAGTCTCAACCACAACAAAATCATGCCAATCAATCATAGCCATTTGCAGTCTTTCTTGTTCAATCTCGTCTTCTGCTTTCTGTCTTGATTGCTCCTCTGACCTTTCCCATTCCAACCGATTTAGGCACCTTTCAAGAACAGTTGTCATGTCGGCAGCACTCTTCCTCAGTTTATCAGTCAATGCTTTAGGTGGCATTAGGACCTTTGAGTATGCATCAGCCAGTGAAGTGAAAAACATAAACATGCTATGGGTGGGCTTTAAAAAATGAAACTGGGGGTTATTGATCTCTCTACTGGTCAGCCCTGTAAGGAAAGACTTCCCATTCCTTGCTACAAACTGGGCAGTAAGCTTAATGATATCCAATTCCTCCCCTGTGATGCCTTCAGGTAGCCGAACAGTATACTGCTCTGGTTCAGGTGGTTCAAGAACCTTGCGAACAGGCCGGAACGGTGCAGAAGGATCCGGCTTTGCTGCAGCATCAACATCATCAGTTGCAGGTGCAGAAGGGGCTGACTCTGGAGCATCTGATTCGGACGGCGGTTGAGCAGAAGCCAGGCTCTGCGCGCGACCTTCAGATAAACGGTGCTGATAGTAAGCATGATAAGGATCAGAGGGGTTCAAAAAATTGAACTTTGCATTTCCTGCATTGCTATGAATAATCCTTCGCTCAAAATCAGGGCCATTCTTAACAACAAACTGAGATGTCTTGTCAACAATGCTTCTGATATCAGGAGGTGGATAAATGATTCCAATAGTTCTTGTATGGGTCGCAACTGAAACTGGAGCTGAATTGTTTTTCTTCTTCTCCTCCTCCTCCTTCAGTTCCTTAATGCCATCGCTATCTTCTTCTGTAAGCTGAGATGGAGGCAATGGGCCAAGATTCCCATCTTCAGTAGCGGGTGGGAGAGGCAATAAGGGCAAGGACCCCAACATCGTCCCGTCTGCAAGTGATAAAAAGAAAAGGCGAGGTTAGTACGTAAAAATCAGCTTGGATTAAGGATGGATCGAAGGCATTCCAAACCTGGGAGAAACCAAAAGCTGCCGGACTCTACAGGGGAGACGCCTGAGACAAGCGTAGGGCGGTCTTTCTGGGCAGATGCACACCGTAAAGGGCGTGGGTAGGGTTTATGGGGTTGGACCCAAACGGCAGACACGAATCCGGTAATTTGATGCTGATGATGATGATGATGATGGGTTGTGGAGCGAGTCGATTGGGGGATTTTAGCTGCAGAGTGATATGGCAATGGAGGAAGGAGGCGACGACGTGATATTGTTCCGACTCGAGAAGATAGATGTGTGAAGGAAGGAAGGAAGGAAGGAAGAAGAGTCAGATTCTCGCGGCGCTCATTTTAGGTGCTGTGAAACCAATCGATCTGAATTTGGGCCAGGCCCGCTGTTCTTAAAATAAATGTTACTCCTCCGTAGTACTCTGTATTTCGAATCTAATTGGGCCCGCTTGTTTCGGAACACTAACGAAAGCGGACTGATAAATTATGAGTCTCCAGACCCCAAAAATAAAGACTGGGCCGGTTCTTATATTTTTCAAACCCCACTTTCCTACTTCATTTTAAATTTTCCCTTAATTGTAGTTATTCCTTACAATTTAATAGAAACATATTTTTGAAAAGATTTTTTTACGTCATTTACCCATGAACTTTTTAAAAATTGCACGGATTGACCTTGAATTTTTAAAAATATTCTAATGGTTCCTTAACGTTTAAAAATGTTGCACCAATAGTTACTCTATGCCAGATTTGGAAGTGCGTTAAACACTTGCAATATTTTTAAAAGTTCAAGGGGTATTGATGCAATTTTTTAAGTTTATGGTGAATCCACACAGTTTTTAAAAAATTTAATAGTAAAATAGTGTAAAAAACTCTTTTTGAAAAGAACTTTTTTTCTTTAATACAATGGCTAAGTATATACTCCCTCCATCCCAGAAAGAATGTCACGTTTACTATTCTGGCCTCTCGATAACTTTTGTTTGTTTACTCGTTTTGGTTGACCATTTGATAAAATAAAATATTCTTGTCGTATCTTGTTTTGTAGAGCTTTTCATATACTTTTAAATGGTGTAATTTTTACTTTTTATTACTCTACCAATTTGAAATTAAAGTGATTTTAAAATAGATGATATTTTCCACGTCGTTCGAAGTGTTGCAAATAAATTGGGACGGAGGGAGTATATTTTTTTTAAACTATCAACTAGGCATGGACATTATACTGATCCGTTTCTGAAATCAATATCTACTTTTGGTTTCAGCAACACAAAAACTTCACTAGCATTTGATAGTAATAATGTTACGGTTCGAATTCTAATTCAAATTTCATACTTGCAATTGTACTAACGGGTCATTATTGTATCATGTCCAGTCCTGCCCTAGCTTGTGGTCGGTATTTGAGCCTGGGAGATGACATTTGTGTTCAAATCACACCATTCGGAATGATTTAACTTACTCAGAAATAAAAAAATTGCTCGTAAAAAACAAAAAAATAGTTTACTCCCTCTATTCCAACATAATTTTCCCATTTGACTTGCATTGGGAGGACTTTCCCACATCAAGAAAAGAAGCAAAAGAAATCCAACATATAAGTTTAATGTTGTACGTCTAGCTCTCATTCTACCCACAATCGATTTTAGATGAAACCCCTATGGGCTTGTCTGTTAGACCTATTGCACAAATGTGCACGACCCAGCGCATGCATGTGCCCTCATGCTATGATCGGCCCACCAGATTCTTTCATAGAATCACAGCAAGTATGGTCTGGCTTTGAACTTCTGGCTGAGCTGGCCGGCCGCAAGGCAAGAAAAATGTGGGGCCAAGCAGAAAAAAAGTCCAAAACTTCAAAAACATAAAGAGAAAACAAATTGGTTTAAACCCTTTCTCCTCAAAACTTCAACCTTTTCATTCTAATCATCCAAAGGCTATTAATTAGTGTAATAGATTTCAATGAGATGATGACGGTATAAAATATGGCCTTGTTTGAAAGAGATGGTACCCAAATTGGGCTTGTTCGAAAAGCTGATACTAAATTCTAATGTTTTTTATTTTTTTTAAACCAATAAATGCATGCATGCATAAGGCATGACACATCTTTCATTCCAAGAGAAAACCAGAAAGTGTAATATAATTTACGTGTGATTAAGGTACGTACATATATAGTGGTTAATTAAAGAGAATATAGTTAAGGATGCGTGGGTGCATAGTTTACATTATATATACTCCGTATGGTATTTAGATACATATACATCCGACGTATTGTTGCCAACTACCTAAGCTAGCTGCCAATCCGATCTGTAAAAATAAATATACTCCTAGCTATACACGAGTCCTAGCTAGCTAGATATATACGGAGTGCATGTGTTACAGTATAGTATAATTAATTAATAATGAGGGGTGGTTTTGGAATAAAAAGAGTAGCAGTAGCAGGAGAGTGGGGATTTTTGAGGTTTGGGATAGGAGGCCTCCTTGTGGCCATCACTATCTGCTTCTCCTGCTGCAATGCCCAAACTCTTCTCCATCATAATGATAATTATAATAACAATACTAATACTAATGCTAATAATGCTTCATCTCCAGATGCAAGCGTTTGTGCCAATGCCATTGCAGTCTACGGTTACCAGTGCCAGGAATATCTTGTACGTACGGACCGTCATGGATCATGTTCTAATTAATTGACTTAATTACAATGTATCATGTGCGGCCGAGTAATTATATAGTTTTTGCATGCATGCAGGTAACCACGGGTGATGGTTACATACTCAGCGTGCAAAGAATACCTCACGGGCGCTTAGGCCGCCGCCGCCGCCGTGACCCTCCCAGTCCAACTAAAAACCGCCCTCCTGTCTTGTTTCAGCACGGACTTCTATTAGTATGTGTCCATATCTCTATATATATTCTTACACCAATGTGTTAATTAATCCCATGGCATGCAAGAGCATTCATCCAGTTTTAATTTAGTTGGCAGTGAGCTAAGATTGACTTTTTACGTTCCTATAATTAAATTGCGTACTATGTTTAATATACACAATATATATACTTCCTCCGTTCCATAAAACCCTTCCCCTTTAGTTTTTTTTTCTTTCCACAAAACACTTTCACTTTCTACTAAAAAACAACTTTTACCCCTACTTTTTCATACCCTACCTATCACATCTTACTTTTTCACTAATAACCAAACTATCACATCTTACTTTTTCCCATCACATCAGGGGCAAAATTGGAAAGTAAACCAAAATTACACTTTCCTTATTTTTCTCCAAAGTCAAAATGGGAATGGTTTTATGGAACGGAGGGAGTATAAAACAATCTTTAGAAATTACTTTACAAGATAAAAACGTACGGAGTATTATAATAATATACTCCGTAACTTTTCTATTTCACTAGTGGTCACACCTTACCAATTTTAATAAGAAATATTTGCACTAAATAGCACTAAAACTTAAGTCATTAATAATTTGCACTATTAATAAGAAATATTTGCACTATTAATAATTATTAGACCGATGTAATTGTTATTTAATTAAATAATGTTAACAATTTCTAATTTTTAACTCCAAAAATTTAAAATCAAATTCAAAACATCACAAATAGTATGAGACCAAGGCAGTATTATACTTCCTCCAACTCACAAAGTCCTTGTGTTAATTTTTCGAAGATTCAACGGAGAGATATTTTTATCGACTATTCCAAATGACCTTTTATTATAGTTGTGAATATAATATGCCGGATGTAATTAGTAAGAATAAATAGAAGTGAAACTAGTTCGCCGGAGGGATATATGAAGTATTATATTAAGGGAGAAAGATCAAAGTAGGACTAAAACATTGAAAATATACCAAAATAGGATTTCCATATTTTTATTCCCGAAATAGGACTTATATTACAATACATGGTCATATATATTACCAAAAAAATATAATAATTTGCACATGTACACTGCCATATTACAACAGGGCAAAGTCACATTACCACAGTGCAAAGTCCTATTTCGGGAAAAAAACATGGAAGTCATATTTTGGTGCTTTTCTCTATGTTTTAGTCCTATTTCGAGAAAAAAACATGAAAGTCATATTTTGGTACTTTTCTCTATGTTTTAGTCCTATTTAGGGTGATTTCTATTATACTCCCTCCGTTCTCAAAAACACTTCCTTTTTCATTTTTTTTACTTCCAACAAAATACTTCTCCTTTCTATTAAAAAACCACTTTTACTCTTACTTTTTCATACCCTACCTATCACATCATACTTTTTTTTCTAATAATCTATCCATCACATCTTATTTTTAACCATCACATCAGGGGCAAAATTGGAAATCAACTACGGAGTATAATTTAACACTTCTTTATTTTTGCCTCCAAATCAAATGGGAAGGGTTTTTCCAAACGGAGGGAGTATTAAGCAATGCATATGATATCGGAGGGGATTCTGAGTATGTGTGTGTAATGGATGATGCGTGCGTGCGTGCGTGGATGATGCAGGATGGGCGGTCATGGTTCTATAATAAGGCAGAAGCAAATCTGCCGATGATTCTGGCAGACAAAGGGTATGATGTGTGGATCTCCAACACTAGGGGTACCGAATACAGCAGACGACATCAATACCTTGATCCCAATGCCAGGGTATTTATTCATTTGTTTATTTATAAATACACAACCTAATTAATTAATAACTGCATGCAGCAGTATTTCTAATCCTCTAAAAGTTAAGAAAACTTTGATTTCGATCATTATGAATTTATGTTTTTTTTCTTCTTATTTGACCTTTTTTGGAGGGAGTAAAAGACGGTAATAACTAATAACAATATACGAGTATATATATCATATGAATATATGTGGTGCGTGCATAATAATTAATATGTATTGCAGGAATTTTGGTACTGGACATGGGACCATTTGGCAAAATACGATCTACCAGTTCTGATAGACCTTGTGTTCAAAACGACTGGGCAGAAGGTCCACTTTGTTGGACATGCGCTGGTACGTACGCATGCATGCAAAACACATCCATACACCTACTCAAACTTCACTTTTAATTTTGTAAATATCCATGGCAAGAAATTAAGAAAATAAACCGCTTTAATTGAAAAAAAAACAGTATATAAATTGTACTCCCTCCGTTCTAAAAAACACTTCCTCTTTCATTTTTTTCACTTCCAACAAAACACTTCCCCTTTCTATTAAAAAACTACTTTTACCCTTACTTTTTCATACCCTACCTATCACATCATACTTTTTCTCTAATAATACATCCATCACATCTTACTTTTACCCATCACATCAGGGGCAAAATTAGAAGTCAACTATAATTTTACACTTCCTTAATTTGCCTTATTTTCAAAGTGGGAAGGGTTTTCCCAAACGGAGGGAGTACATGCATGGTAATGAATATAATAAAAAATGTTGGGGAAATATAATGTACGTGATGCGGCATTGGGCGGTGCAGGGGAGCTTGTTATGCTTGGCAGCGCTGGCGGAGGGGAATGTGGGCGTGGACAAAGTGAGGTCGGCGGCATTATTGAGCCCCACTGTTTACGCCTCCCACATGACCTCTATCCTCGTTAAAGCTGCCGTCAAATTGCATATTGCCGAGGTATATATCCACACACTACAATATACTTAGGGGCTGTTTGTTTCAGCCTCTTAATGGTTCAGATGTCTGAATGGTTCAGCACTTAATGGTTCAGACTGTTTGTTTCAGCCTCTTAATGGTTCAGATGTCTGAATGGTTAAGAGATTTGCCTCTGAATGGTTAAGTATTATAATGGTTAAGACCTCTTATCTGAATTGATCAGACATTTGCCTCTGAATAGTTAAGCAATATACTAGCTCTTAATGGTTCAGACCTCTTACTGGTTCAGCACTTAATGGTTCAGGACCTCTTACTGGTTCAGCACTTACCCATTCAGAAGTTGCCAAACAGCCCCTTAGCTTCTTCCGTCCTAAGTAGATTACCATCTTTTTTTCTCTTTTCTCGATAAATTTTGTTTATTTGTGTGTCTTCATTGAGTATTAGTTAAAATAAAATATTTTTATCGCCTCTTGTTTTGTAGAATTTTTTATGTATTTTTTTAATATGTAATATAATTTTTATTTATTATGGATGTATCAATTTGTAAATAAACTCATACAAATTCTTAATCTATCTATCACATTATATTTTTTATTAATAATCTACACATCACATCATACTTTTAGGCATCATTTTTTTAAAAAATAATACAAAAATATCTCTCTTAAATTCTCTAAAACCAAAACGGAAACATCAATAAGACAGAGGAAGTATTAATTATTAATGAGTACGTACTTACTCGTGCGATTTCATGCATATGATATATGTTGGCAGCTGGGTGCACTCATTGGCATTTATGAGTTCAATCTGAATAGGTATATACACACATTCATTTATTTAATTTGTATATGTCATGTGCTGGATCGAATGAACTAATTATATTGATTACTCCGTATGTATTTAATTATTGCAACAGTGATCCTGTGTCACGCCTCGTGAGAATGTTGTGTTCTCAGCCATCGGTTAGCTGCTATAACTTGCCAACCCCCCTCACTGGTATATATATACACTGCCTATACATACATACACACATATTGAGACTTGAGAGTTATGTTTAATGTTTTTAGTCTTTTTAAAGAATATATATATATATATATATATATATATATATATATTGATGGGTCGAATTCATGAACTGATGATGGACAATTGGTTTTGCCAAAGGTAAAAACTGCTGCATCAATAGCGCGGCTATACGACATTTTGCAGAGAGTGGAATGCAATCCACATCAATCAGGAACCTCAAGCATTTATCTCAGAGTAATTAAGCATGCATATACAATACCTCAAATGCATCTAATTGATTAATTAGCTATGCTAAGTACTTGAATCCGTACGTACGTATTATATATTGATGGATGTGCTTGCATGCATGCAGATGTTCGTCACGGGACATTGGAAAAATACGATTATGGGAACGCGGAAGTGAACATGCAGCACTACGGCAGAAGAAAGCCACCCCTCTACGACTTGAGCCGCATCCCGAAGAACCTTCCGGTGTTCATAAGCTACGGAGGTGCAGACCAGATGGCTGACACCGCCGACGTGAAAGTTCTGCTGGGAGAGTTGAAACCGGCATTGAACACTGACATGTTGCGGGTTCAGTACGTCCCCAACTACGCTCACTATGACTTCATCATGGGACTCAATGCTAATCATCTTGTTTATACCCAACTCATTGCCTTCCTTGATCCCCTCAAATAGCTAGCTAGCTTACCACTTCATTACTCTCTCATCCGATCCATACATGTAATGTAATAATATAAACCCATGGCCACCGAGCTAGCTAGTATATATTATCATTCCTCGTCATATTTGTATACATGCATGCACACTTTACTATATATGCATATAGCACGTACTCCGGCCATCCCATCCCATCCGTATCTAGCTAGCTAGTTTTATGTTCCATGCATGGTATCAATTCTCTCTTCGGCTCTAGCTAGCATTGATTACTTGATACTCGATTGATGATTAGCCCGATCCGTTAATTATCGTGTCATGCAAAGTCTTAAATCCCTTAACTAATTAATTCTTTGAATTTTTAGAGTGCTTGATTTGCACTCTTATTATTGGAACTTAGAACTAATATTTCAATTTAGAACTAATATTTCAATTTGGCCCACAACTACTTATACGAGTAATTAAATAATGTTCTGATAATGTTGTGACGTCAGCGGCTTGGTCACAAAATCTACAAGTTGATCCTTAGAAGTAACACGTTCAGCACTCATGGACTCATCAATAACTTGCTCTCGAACAAAATGACAATCTGTGCCCACATGTTTTATGCGCTTATGGAACACTGGAACTTTAGTGAGACAAATAGCTGATTGATTATCACAATAAATAATAGGTACGTGGTGGCGTAGCAATATGAAAATCTGCAAGAATGTAAGTGACCCACATAACCTCGGAGGTAGTTGCAGAAAGGGCCCTATATTCGGCCCCTGTAGAAGACTTTGATACTCGTGTCTATTTTTTAGTACTCCATGACACAAGATTATTCCCAAGATATATAAGATAGCCAGTAGTGGACCTACAATCAGAAGGATCATATGCCTAGTCATAATCAGATCAGAGTAGCCATGACGGCGCAAATCCCCTCTACAAAAACAATACCACACACCAAAGAACCTTTAATTTTACATAATGTAACCTTAGAAATATTTGCACTAAATAAAACTAAAACTTAAGTCATATCCCTAAATAGCACTTAAACTGTTTTATTCCCTAAATAGCACTTAATAATGTCCATAATGTCCAATGATGGCAAATATTTACTTGAATAATGACTAATGCATAATGACTAAAAGTGCTACATTGGGAAGAAAAACACATGCGGTGCTATTTAGGGAAAGTCATTATGTTTTAGTGCTATTTAAGTAAATTTCCCTTAAAATTATCACATACCACAATGTACAGACTTCACTAACAAAGGAACATTTGTCTGAGTCCGAACAAAGGCCAAGCCCTGACTAAAAAAACTGACAATGATTCTGTTCGTGGTCAGACAACGATCTAAACGGTCACAGACAATGTGATGTGACGATGGTTGTCTAATCTCGCGATCTGGACAACGATGGACCTTGCAATTTGGTCAGACGTGTGCGCAATCCGAAAGACGATGTCTGGTTTTTCTCTGAGGCTGCTCAACAACGATTCACGAAAACAATCATTTTGGGAACAAAAGGATGAGTCTTGCAATTGTTTATTTGCTGAGCTAATCTGTGAGGTGTAAACAATCTTGGCTCCGATAATATTTGTTGCGATATATGCACACAGAAAAGAACACACACTATCATGTATAAACTACAGATGAATAAACAATCGTGACATAATTTTTTTACTCCAAAGTCAACTAAATTTGGAAGGTGCAATTGAAGGAGGCGAGTGTGTGTGTGTGTTCGGGGCAGGGTGGGCGGGTTTATCGAGGGAGTTAGGGGTAGGTTAATTTGGCGAGTATCATAATATGACACTTAAAATGGGTGTCATTTTTAACCTGATCATTTAGAACTATACTATTCACAAAACACTACCAATGTAATTTTTTGTGCACCCCATAATTATGTTTCTACCTCACCTAAAATATCTAAAATACATCTCATTACATAGTTTATCACGTAGAAGTGGTTCCGTGAGTACTTTAGATATTTTAGGTAGGGGTGAGCATGGTACGGTATGGGACGAGATTATGCCCGTACCGATACCGTACCATAACTTTCGGTTCGGTATGAGATTTCATATTTTACCGTTATCGATCCCAAAATGTTGGTACGGTACGGTTCGGGAAAAAATAATGTCGGTACGGGATTTTTTTCGGGATTTTTTAAACAAGCAAGGTATAATACACAATTGGTAATACAAATAATAGTAGAAAGATTTGTCTTAAATAGAAAAACAGTAAATGTAAATAACAGCAGTGGTACAAAAGATTAAAAAAAAGCATTACAAAAGCAATAGTAGCATTACAAAAGGCAAAAGCAGTAGCTTCAAAAAAGGCAAGCACCCCTTCAATAGTAGCATTACAAAAGCAGTAGCATTACAGTAGCTTAAACAAGCAAGGTATACTACACAGAAGGCAGAAGCAATCACCCCTACATGCAGCAGAGTCCTTGAACCTATAAAAGCAATTAGTAAAGCAAACATATGATAAGTAGATTTAAATATTTAATGTAAACTAAGTAGAGAAGATATACCATATTACCATTTCAATAATCATGAAGGTATTCTTCCAAATGCTTTGGAATGTTTGCAAATTCATCTACAAAAAAAATTAAAATGTAACCTTAAATTTTAATATATAATTAATAAATATTAATAACATATGTAGAAACGTACCCTTTTCAATCTCTTCAAGTTTCTTCTTATACTCATCCAATGCAATATCAGGTTGATTTTGAATATCTATTGGGTTTGACCTTAACCAATCTTGAGAACATATTAAAGCTTCGGCGGTTCTTGGGTTAAGAGAACTCCTAAATGGATCTATAACTCTTCCTCCAGTACTAAATGCTGACTCAGAAGCCACTGTAGAAATTGGCATTCCTAGCACACTTTTTGCAATTTGAGAAAGAATTGGATACTTGAGTGAGTTCGATTTCCACTAGGATAATATATCATAGTCATCACCAACCGATTGTAAAACACCCTCAGACAAGTATATATCAACTTCAGATTTGTTCTCCATACTCTGTGCTACTAACATATCTCTTTCAAATTCTCTTTCAAGAAAATCATCATCATCAATATCTAAAGAGATTGGAGCTACACTTGAGGACGTCGAAGCATGTGATATATCTTCACTTGAAGCATGTCGAAGATACTCTTTATACAAAGATTGTAGAGTTTCTTTCACTCTTTTAAGGAATATCACTTGCTTATCTCCATCATTTTCATAAATTTTTTTTAGGCACAATTCCACATATTTGATTTTCTTCTGAGGATCCAACACAACAGCCATATACAATAAGAAATTGATATTATCAATATTATCCCAATATTTGTCATATTTCAGCTTCATACGTGTCGCCATTGTGCGACATTTCTCATCCCCGCTAAAGCACATCTTTGAAATTTTAACATGCATTTTCACAATTTCATTGAAGAAGAGATTTGCAGTAACATGCTTAGAAGCTGAAATTTTCAAAGTAATAGTATAAAATATTTTAAGGAACTCGACAAAGTACCTCGCATTCGTCCAATCTTCCTCGCAAGGGGCTCCAACAACAACTTTTTTTTCCGCTTTCTTTTCCTCGTGTTACCTTCAAAATCATCTTCATTATCCGCAACAAAATAAGACATGTAAGCATCCTCTCGCTTAAGTCTTTGAAAGGCCTTTTCATACCTAATCGCTGTCTCCAACATCAAGTACGTGGAATTCCATCTCGTGTCTACATCTAGTGACACCTTTTTTTCACACCCTATCTTCTCTTTTTCGACACAATCTTCAAACTTCAAAAGTCGGGCAGGAGAAGATCTAACATACCTCACAGCATTCCTAATCCTAACAATTGAATCATGTTGGTCCTCCAAACCATCTCTCACTATTAGGTTGACGATATGGGCACGACATCTCAAATGCATATATTTTCCATCAAGTATTGAATCAGGTCCCATTAATTCCTTCTTCAAATATGCAATTGCACCATCATTTGACGAAGCATTGTCAACCGTAACAGTAAATACCTTATTAATTCCCCACTTGTTCAAACAAGCATACACCAACTTACCAATTGTGTCTCCTTTATGATTGGAGATTTGACAAAAATTCAAAATTTTCTTGACCAACCTCCAATTATCATCAATCCAGTGCGCAGTGAGACACATGTAGTTAATATTTTGGATGGAAGTCCAAGTGTCTGTAGTTAGAGAAACACGTTTACCTGCAAGCATACTTTTGACGACTTTGGACTCTTCTTTGTATATATTCAAACAATCTCTAGCAACCGTCCATCGACTAGGAAGTTTAAACTTTGGATTCAATGTCGATGAATACTCCACAAAGCCCTCATCCTCCACAATACTAAAAGGCCAGTTGTCTTTGATACACATCCTAGCCAATGCCATTCTACAAGCATCATGGTTAAACGTGTTACCCCTTCCAATGGGTGGTTGAGACGGAGAAAAATTTAAAGTCCTTTGTTTACTATCTGCTTGCTTGTAACATGGAGACTTGCGACAGTAAAACTTTAAGTGTTTTCCTAAACCACTGGTTCCATTTTTTTTAACATCACACCTGATCATGTTCTTGCAATATGGACATTCTGCTTTTGTGATATTCTTCTCATATTTGAAATGTTCCCACACAAATGATTTCTTCTTCAAACCATCTTCTTCAATTTCTTCATTTTGATTTTCTACAGGAGTAGTTTCCTCAAAATGTTGAGTTGGTTGAGTGCTTAAATCACTTCCATCTTTGATTGAAGTCATCTGTAATTTTGCAAAATACCAAAAAAAAGGATTCAATTATTTATAAAGAAAATAAAAAATGGATCAAAATGGAGTACATTCTAGAGCATAAACACAATAAGGATTTGTAAAGGAAAGCTTACTTTTCTCAAAAACAAACTACCAATTACAGATTTACAGTAGCAAAAAAATGGGTGGAAATCATAAATATGGCATAGCCATAATTCTGAAATTAGTATTTTTTACCTCCGTACATGGACACCGGGACGGCGGGACCTGGAGGCTGGAGAATTTCCGTCGAGGTGGCGTCTGGCGGGCAGCGGCGTCTCTCTCTCTCTGTGACTAGCTGGAAGCAGCAGTGGAGCGTGCAGGCGGGCGACGGCGTCTCTCTCTCTCTGTGCGTTCGTGCTACTGCTTGCCTGCTTGGGTTTGAGACTGAGACTTGGGCAATGGGCACGGAAGTATTCCGTAGTTAGCAAATAGGAGGGGCTGGAGGACTACTGGAGTACTGGGCTAGGGAGTTTTGGGCTTTGGACTTTAATATATAAATATATATAATATTTAAAAAATTAGGCCATTCCCAAATTTGGCTGGACCAGTGGGCTGGACTTCAATATATATTAATATATATTTGCTACAGTAGTCGGTACGGGAATTTCGGTTCGGGACAGAGCCTATTCCCATTCCCAAATACCAACCCGAAAAATCGGTTCGGTATGGTTCGAGATTTTTTCGGGATTTTTCGATTCGGTAAAATTTGGTACGGGTAATTCGGGAATTTTCGGGAATTTTCGGTAACGGTAGGGTACATGCTCACCCCTAATTTTAGGTAGAAAAAATTGTTTTATGGGATGCACAAAAAAATAAAATGACAGTGTTTTTGTGAAACCGGGGGGGTTAAAATTTGAATTTCATAATTCCCAGTGAATGTCGGCCTCGGTGGGTAAACATATTGGAGATCATACAATCCTTGTGGGAAATTCAAGATTGCGGTAGATTTTAATATTTCAAAGTCGTCATTAAATCTGTGATGATGATGGGAATCTCTCCCTCACGGATACTCTATCTCATGGCAATCAAGGTTTAGCCGAAACAACTACATACTCATTGATCTTCACACGATCAATGACCGAAGCAGCGAAGCTTCACTCACATTCAATATTTGAAGTTTTTCAATGTTAAACCATTTACTGAGGACTTTAACCTTCAATATTCGTTTCATTAATTTTTCCCCCTCCACCCCCACTTTGCCTTGTTGCCATCCCTAGTGTTTCCCTTCAAAACGAGAGATTGCCTGCCAGTCACACAACATTGCAAAATACGACCTGAGCTCATACAAATGTGTAGCTTTGGAGTTATTAGCCAACTTGTTACTATGTATCAGATGTGAATGCTCTTCTCTCCTGTTGAACAACTGCTCGGGGCAAGAAAGTCAGGCCACGATTCCTGTTACGACCAAAGCTAATGGACGAGGGATTGTCAGAACTGCTAGTGCTTAATCTTGAGACAGCAGTAACTAGGTTGTCCATCGTCTCGTCCTCTACTTCTGTTGACTCCATACGGGATGCTGCTGCTGATGATGCATGTTTCATTCGTTGATCATTCTGCCTCCTTTTCTTCTTCGATGGATGGGCTTTTCTGTAAAACTCATATGAAGCTGGGAATTTATGCTTGTCAACCAGGTGCTGTTGCCGCAACTTGTAGCTCTTTAGCTTAGCACCACAGCCTTCCACTAGACATTCATACTGCAGCACCCCATCACAGCACAAGTAGTACTTGATCAGTAAACCCACCCCACACATCGACACGACAATGTTGAATATGGAACACTCCAAGAACTAATTACTCCCTCTGTTCATATATGTCTAGGTTGACCACATTTCTTTGTTCATTTTCATCTACTATCTTTTTATGCATAAAAATAATTTCCATCTGATTGACCCTTTTTCATGTACAAAGATTAATGAGAGTACGTGTTTCATTGAGGACACTTTAGTCAAAGTATTATGAATACACTTTTTTTTAAATTAACTTTATGATCTCTATATATTACCATCTCCCAACGTGAAAGGAAAAACCTTACCATAGCAAACCCACGAGCAACTTTTGCCTGGAAGAACGAATCATGAGCTTCAGATAAATGTAAGCTCAGGAGACGTGACGTGGGGTAAACTCTTGAGCAGACCGAGCAAGATGCAGAGTGCCGTGCAATGTAGTGATCTTCAAATGCATCCAAACACCTCAACCGTGCACCACACCCGCTGATTGGACAGAAGAAATCACTGTACAAATGCAGGTTGCAACTAGATTCAACGGTGCATTATTACTCCGATCAATATATGTCTTTAACTGATTCATTACAACACTGTGAACTTCTCAACTTGTTTTCACTACCATAGTCACTAGTCTATCTATGAAGTAAAGAACACAAAATCCAGATGGCTAGGTTCTATTGATGAAATTAATTAGGTGGTGATGGTCAAGTATCGAATATTAAAACTCGATAATATTCAAATCTGTAAGAGCAGATACACTTGTACAAACAATGAAGATGAGAAGATGCTTAATTCATGTAAATCCAGGTGAACCATTTCAATGTTCAAATAAAAGTAAATGATTTCAAGTTTCAGCATAGCAGATCATTGTAAAATAAGGGAATTGAACGCACCTGCTCTCCAGGTCATCTATATTTCGGGCCACCTGCTTCTCCTCTATAGTAAAATCCAGCGCAACCTGGTAGGTGTTGAAGATCGGCGGGCGTTAGTCCAGACGACAGATCCTTATCCAATAATTATACAACCGAAAAAGAAGAAGAAGAAGCATAAAGAGCATATAACAAGAGAGAAGAATATGAGGCTAACCTGTTTGGCTAGAAGTTGTCTTTCAATGTTGCCGGCAGCGAAAAATGGATCATCTGGACCGTACCGCCTGCGAGTCGGACTCCAAATTGGAAACTCCGACTGGACCATTTCGACCTCCATCGCCATAGACAGTTCAAAATACAAGATCTCTCAATCCCAAACGCCTTCTTCGCCTTTTTGGAGAAACTGCTTGGCTATTTGTGGGCAAAACTCTTGGATACCCCATATTTTGAAACTAACTGCCGGGTACTTCATATTTTCAAAATATACTCTGATTTACCTTCTATTTTGAGAAACTAACTATCGGGTACCTCACATTTTTAAAATATACTCCGAGGTACCTTCTATTTTGAGAAATTAACTATCGGGTACCTCACATTTTTAAAATATATACCATGATACCTCCAAATATACATTAATTTTACGCCATTAATTTTAAGAAATAGGGGTTTGGAATTTTAAAAATAACCAAGATCTTTTTAATTTGAAGAAAATTGTACTCAATACTTTTAAAATTGAGTACTCAATTTTCTTCAAATTAAAAAGATCTTGGTTTTTTTTAAATTCCAAATCCCTAATTCTTAAAATTAATGGCGTAAAATTAATGTATATTTGGAGGTATCCTACTGGAGTATATTTTAAAAATGTGAGATACCCGATAGTTAGTTTCTCAAAATAGAGGGTACCTCGGAGTATATTTTAAAAATGTGAGGTACCCGATAGTTAGTTTCTCAAAATAGAAGGTACCTCGGAGTACATTGTGAAAATGTGATATACCTGGCAGTTAGTTTCTCAAAATATAGGGTACCCAGGAGCAGTTTTCTGATTTGTGGGAGACCAGAAGATGAACGACCAATCTTATTTAGGAGTCGTAATTTTTAAATTTTGAAGTACTCCGTAAAAAGTTTTCATTCCTTTTATCCGGATATATTTTTCTGGTTTTAGCTTATAAGATTTGATTAGAGGTATTTTAAATTAAATTTATTTTATTATAGGTGTGAGATTAAGCAATAAAGTTTATGTATATAAAAATTATACGGAGTATTAAAATATCTTTATAACAATGGTCATATTATTATATTATTTTATGAAATAATAAACAAAAATAAATAAAGAAAATAATTAAAGTTTGACTTTACATTTGAAATCAATTTAACCCCTTCTTCTATTTGGTCCAGGTTTAGTTTGAAATAGCTTGAAATTTACTCTCCGTCTCAGTTTGATTTACGAGTTTTGATTAAAAAAAATTTTAATTCAATTTATTTGATTATAAATATAAAATTAAAAAAAATATATTTTAAATTTATATAAAAAAGTTATACTTACTCCGTCCCAATTTATTTGCAACTAGGGGTGGGCACGGATCGGGACGGTCCGGGTTTTAGGTTGTCCCACGTCTTGTCCCGTTATATATAAACGGTCCAGAACGGGTCAGATTACAATCTTATCCCGGTTAGTCCCATAAAATTTGGGATCAGAATAAATCGGGACGGATTCGGGTCGTCCTACTTTGTCCTAATCGCAAATATAAGAAGAGGGAGATGATGACATTTCATTCAAAAAAAGAAACATATAGCCATCCAACAAAAACAGTGAATGGAACGAGTCCGAATAAATTTCAAGCCTATGAAGTTAATTTAGTTAAATAATTAATTAATTAAAGAATGAGTATATTTGGATTTTGGACTAGAATTAGTATTATATATTAGTGGAGTAGATGAAACGGGACAAACGGGACGGATCGGTATAAATTTTAGTTGTCCCGCTTATGTCCCATTTGATATTGGGACGAAACGGGTTCGGGTTAAAAAAATGTGTCCCAATATTTTAGTACAAATGTACTATTACAAAACGGATCCGGGATTTTTTGGAATGGTCCAACGGAAACGGATTTCTCGCCCACCCCTATTTGCAACACTTCGAACGACGTGCAAAATATCATCTTTTTTAAAATCACTTTAATTTCAAATTAGTAGAGTAATAAAAAGTAAAAATTACATCATTCAAAAGTATATGAAAAGCTCTACAAAACAAGATGCGACAAGAATATTTTATTTTATCAAATGGTTAACCAAAACGAGTAAACAAAGGTGTGAACATTTTTGTCTGCAAAGCTGTCGCCCCATCCGGCCAATCCTACAGTACTTGTTACCTCTTCCGCCCGTCGCGAAGTTTGACTGATCAGGCGTAGGGATGGTGAAGGCCATAATTGCGCCGTCGATGCTGTCATCGGACTTTGCCAATCTGGCTTCCGAATCCGAACGGATGCTCCACTGCGGTGCTGATTGGCTCCATATGGACATCATGGTACTTTCCTTCTTAGCTTCTCATACTTTATTTTCAAAATTGGAATCTCGATTCTCCCTAGCATTTTTTTGTTCTGTTGGTTTATTTATCTGATGTTTGCGTTTAAAATGCTTTAAGTTTTATGTAGACTTGGTTGATTTTTATTCTGTTGGTTGACTTGCTCTTGTTTAAAATTAGCCTTAGCCTCAAACATGATCCTTTTCATGATCTGTATATAATTAGAAAGAAGTATTGCATTAGTTATCACAGTCCCAATCTTATCCCAATCGAAAAACTTATCGGTAGATGCGGCCCCCCCCCCCCCGACTTAGAAAATATCTTATGTATCGAAAAAATCCAGGATGATTGAGTACCTCATCCACAATGAGTGGTCTTTCCGTGTCCCGAGGACCCAACAAGGATGTAAAGAAACTCACTAGACTAACATTATTGTCCAAGGCAGTAGTTTTATGAACTCCTGTATCAAGTTCATAAACAGTCTTTTTGCTGTCTTCTTTCCTCCAAAATAATCAAACAACACTTTGATGCACTGGTCAGAGGATTTGATCTAGTCTAATTCAGATTCCATTTATCTTGTCACTTTCAGACAGAGGATTTAGGAAAAATACAATACTTCTTGGTATTGTTGTGACTCAGTTCAAAATAAGTGTCCATAAGCCAGAAAAAAATACATGAATTTGACCTCTTGAAAGTTCATCAGTAATACACACTGAGTCAAACACACACACATCTCTTTTCACTCCTCTATTTTCAGTTCCAACTCAATCAATTTACTTTTTGTCCAAAGAAAGTTTGCATTTGGACGAATTACAAGTTTCACTTTTATCAGTTTCCCTTTTCTACGTGATATGGCAGTGGAATCACTTGACCAAGTAACTGAATTTTTCTCATCCCAACATGTCCAAATATATTACTGTATTTCTTATTGAAATTGACTAAACCATATAAGAAGTTAATCCTATGTTGATAAAGCTAGAAGTGACAATTACAAATTCATCATTTCTGATAGGTGCTAATAAATTGAATTCAAAAGAAGGTTGATTCCAAGTTTAACTTGGAGTCGTCCAGCTTGATCTCCAGCCACATGCTAGGGATGTAGTTCTTGACACCTGCATGGCTGCATCATTAGATCCACACCTCTTCTCCAGAGTATCTCATATTACCTTTTGAAGACTTATCTGCTAAAAAGGTATCAAAGAGATTACTTGTCATCTGGTGTAACATATACCCTCTGATAGTTTTCTTGTCCTTATCCCATTCGGATAGTTACGCAAGATTAGTTTCACCGGAAAGCTCATTATTTTTACCAGCTGAGTCACAAATCCTTTCATTGCTAGACCCTTTTCCATCTGCCTTCTTGAGGACATAATTGAACCTTTTCTAAAGGCCCAATGATGACAAACATCTTCGCTAATCTTCATTTAAACTTGAAACCATCAACTTTGGCGAGATCAATGCAAGGCCTAAAAGTAGTAAGACAAAGGTAAAAACACTCTTAGATTGTTGTGTACAAAAAACCTATATATGTCTTACGAAATGTAGGTCATATGGTCACACAAAGAAAAAAAGATGTGGCAAACAGAATGCTTTGTTTTTTCCGCGTTAATAAAATTACAGCTTTTTGGTTAAAAAAAGTGTTCCCTCAACAGTTTTAACGTATAATCCAGGTTGTGATGGCACCTCATAAGGTTACCCAAAGACTATGTTCTTGTGTGCAGTAACACTGTTAGAACTCAAAATTACACAAGATATGGAAAGATTTGTTTAGTTTATTAAGACAAGAAGAGCAAGAGAGGAGAAAATAGTGTGATACGGAGTATTTATATGATTAAATACTCTCTTTATTGTGCAACGACCATATCCTCAATTAAATGGGATTCAAAAGATTTTATCTGTTTCATTTACAAATTGTATAAACTTAATATACATTTAGTGTACATAATTAATAAACTTGAGGCAAGGGAAACAACCCAAGTCTCCTGGAGCAGAGGCAGAAGGCTCAAGAACAGAATAGTAACAACAATGTGCTCAAACAATAAGGTCACCTATAAAAATACCAAGACAGAGGGATCAAGACCAGCATGCTTTATTTACTAGAATGCTTTAGACAGAAGGGTCACCATCACATAGAGAAGTGACACCGTTCAGATGAATTATACAACCAAAACCATTACACCCCAGACTCTATTCATTTGTATAGCTAGCAAGCAAACCATTCTGTTAAGCAAAGAAGTCGACCCTTCTGTACCTCTCTGCCGCAAGTTCCTTGGCCCTTTTGTTAACTAGCACGATGGTTACTGTCCTCCAACTACATCAAATGCCCCAACAATAAAAGTGTGTATTTCTAAAAATTTTGTCTCTAGATGAGAAGAGTTAATTATGATAGGATTGAGAAATTGAGTTGCGTGTATTGAGAAGAGAGTTTTCTCACATTATATGTCATAATCTTTTCCTGTATATATCTTTATCATCCAAAAAATAGAAAATAAAGTTTCCATTCCATTTTCTACCCACTTAAAAGTAGCATGCATTTAAGGTGATGAACTGCAGTGTTGTGTTATTGCAGATTTAATAGTTGAGCAATTTTCTGGTAAATTTTATAATCAAATTGTCCTGCAATCTTGTTTGTTCAATTGCAGGATGGGTAGGTTGCATTTCTGCTCCAGGATCTAATATTGCACATGTGCTCAATGTTGAACATGCACCAATGAATTAAAGGAAAACAAGTTATCCAGTTGTCGGTGAATTGCCTTTATACAAAATGCAGTTTTTTTTTACTCGGTATTTACTCTTTTTCATTTGCAGTCACTTTGTACCAAATCTTACAATTGGTGCTCCGGTTATTCAAAGTTTGAGAAAGCATACAAAGTAAGACTTTTGTTGGTGTGATTTATTTTCCTTTCCGAGCAATTAATCATCTGATTTCTGATGCATACTGCTGGATTCTTATGTCTTACAGTGCGTATTTAGATTGTCATCTCATGGTGACAAATCCTCTTGATTATGTGGAAACGCTAGGAGCAGCTGGTGCTTCAGGTTTTACATTCCATGTTGAGACATCTAGAGGTGAAATTATTGGTCTTTTGCTACTCTAGTGATTTTAGTTGTCTTTAGACTTTGGTTGGTTTTAACTATAGGTCTGCAACTGCAGATAATTGGCAGGAACTTGTCCAAATGATAAAGTCAAAGGGCATGAAACCTGGTGTTTCGTTGAAACCTGGTACTCCAGTTGAAGAAGTCTATCCGCTGGTATTCATTCTCCTTATTTTTGGTATTCAGAAATCATCTCATTTGATCTGATGAGAAGTATGTACCATGCTGCAAATGCATAAATGTGAAAGTCTCTGCTATTGGTTTCTTATTTATTCTCTGCAGCTTGAAGGCGAGAACTCTGTTGAATTGGTTCTTGTGATGACGGTTGAACCTGGATTCGGAGGACAGAAGTTTATGCCTGAAATGATGCATAAGGTGGTACTTTTATTATCCCTGTATTTAAAGGTGCGTGATGCTGGAGCAAATCTTCCAACTAGTCTAATTTTTGATTTCAGGTTCGGGAACTAAGGAAGAAGTATCCATCCCTTGACATAGAGGTTAGACAACATTCATTGCTATTAATTAAATTAATGTGAGGAAATGTTGCAGTGGATGTGATCTGCCTTTTATTACTAGCAAGTAATTGGTTGATGATATCAAGTTTTTGTATACATCAGGTGGATGGTGGTTTAGGAGCTTCAACCATTGAATTGGCTGCTTCAGCAGGAGCCAACTGCATTGTTGCAGGGAGTTCCGTGTTTGGAGCTTCCGACCCAGCTCATGTCATATCACTGATGCGTCACAGCGTTGAGAGAGCCCAGAATGGGTTCTGATCCAGATGCACAGCCGTTATGGGTTCTGTATTGTGTGTATTACTACAATTCTCAATGGATTCCATCATTGAATAATAGGTACTTGTATTCACACTCCCCCGGTTCATGATTCATGAATGAATGGGTTGTTGGTTACCCAAATTACATCATTATAGTAACACCTGTTGCACCGCAGGGGGTATATACTAATTAATGATTTGCGGTATTGTTTCGTACGAATAATGTGAATTGGATGAGAGTATGACACTATACCCGAGTGGTTAGTAGTAATAATGTAACGATGTGATTTTGTGGTTAGAGCGATGGTAGCTGACATACTCTGGTATTGGACATTTATTTTTGTTTGAAATGGTTATGATTGAAATTTGTGTTGGAAAATTTGGAGAAATACGCATATGAGCGGTGATTTTGAACTTAAATATAAAAAGGGTTTGATAACTTAATTTATTGAAACTCGTATGCCTCTTTATTGTACCCTGTAAGGCCAATCAGTGTGGAACGGTGAAGGGCACCGTGACGAGGACCTGGCATGCCAAATTAGTCGCATGAGCTAGTATGCAAGTACTTGTGATTTGTTTTAAGTAGTTGTACTCCGCATTTTTTTTTAAAAATTGAGTAGTATTTTTTCTCCATCTATTGCTCTTATTTTTCTTTTTTTCCGCATTATGTCAATGTATTTTTTAATTTTAAAGTTGATGAAGTATTTAGTTACTCCGTAATATTTTTTTATATTTTTTATATGAGTAATATTGATTTAAACAAATGAAAAAATTTGAAAAATGGGTGTGACCGCATGATATACACCCCTGTTCAATGATAGGATGTGATAAGAAAAAGAAAGACTGGCGTGATGTTAAGTAGGATGACATAATGTGCGTGGTGGCGCGAAACACGCCTATCAACCTAAGAGCAACTTCAATGAGGAATGCAAAATAAGAAATATTTTTTTCATTTACCTCTTCAAAAAGTGATTTTTCTTTGTCTCAAAAATGATTTTGCCATTCCATTTGCCTTTACTATTGAAATGTAAAAATATACAAAAAAGAGAAGTAAATTTTACTCCCTCCGGTCTTAAATACTCTTTTTGTTTTGATTTTTTTATCAAACAGTAACACTATTTGATCTTACATTTTTGAAAAATATATTGAATTAAAATTTGATGTAATTGAATTCATATTAAGATATAGTTTTAATATATCAAATTTTATAATATTTATTTATTTAAATTATACTCCCTCCGTCCGGAAATGTTCTTCCCGTGTTGACTTGGCACGCTTATTAAGGAATAGTAAAAAAAATGCAAAATTTTCAAAAATGCACATTGTTGGGTTATGGAAGGGCCCCCGGATCCATTGATCCGCCTGCTCATAGCTTGATTCATGCTCGCGTGTTTTATACCCCCCAGTTCACTTGGCTCTTACTATTACACGATCATTCCCATTATGAATCTTGCATTCAGGCCTCGCACACCTTACTCGAGGAAGGGGGGAGGGAGAAGGTTCTTCTCCCCATATATATCACGGAGAGTGAAGGCTATGGTTTACATACAAAGACCAATGGGCCGGCCCAACAGGCTGGGCCGCCCTAAATAAGAAATTAATAAACGACTAACGGGCCGATCTCACAAACTAGACCGCCCCAACTAATATTACACAAAGACCGGATACCCCCTGTTCGGGGTATCCATCATGAGTCCCCCACTTCTCGAGCCGAGAGGAACTCGAGGTGAAGTGGAAGTAGAACCATAATTCTCCACGGAGGGACACCGTCCTCCTTGCTGTCTGGACTGCACTGCCAACTCGCTGTCCCGAGCACAGTGAAGTAAGGCAAGCGACGCCATTTGTCTCGAAATGCAACGCCAACTCGCTGCTCCGAGTAAGGCAAGGTGAAAGAATCTGCATCCATGGATATGAGGTGTATTGCCGACTCGTTGTCCGGAGTGGCCAAGTAAAAGAAATCGTAGCACTGAGCACGATGTGCGCTGCTGACTCGCTGTCCGGAGCGGCACGGTAAAAAAGTATGCCCCAATCTGCTCATTGTCTTGAAAGGTTCTGCTCTCGTACAAAGGGCATCGTCGGTTTGCTGTTCAGAGTGCATGAATAAGTCGTCATCCTCTCACAATCCCGTCAATGTGTGACCCACTCCACGGGGATGCCTCGTTAAAAACTTGCTGAGGAAAAAAATCCATGAGGATGGGAAAAAATCCTCGGTCAAGAAAAGAGTACATCTCGTCCCACAGAGTGGATCAAGAAAACATTGCTAGGGGGTGAGGTCTTCTGTGTGAATCTCAAAAGAGGTGATCTTCAAGTCCCCCGGACCCGTTGTCCGGAGTCGAGGGCTGTTCGACAAAATGCATTGTCGGCGAGTGCATGCCGACACAGACTGCTGCGGTTTAATACAAGGTCGGGATGTCGATCGCAACCTCTCCTGACATGAGAACCCGGAGTCCCCCACTCCCCAAGCCGAAGAAGAATTCCGAGGTGAAGGGGAGTAGTGTCCATGCTCGGCACCGGCGAGAGTCTCTGGCTTCCTCATGAGATGGCCGAGGCCGAGCTCGAGTGGACGAGGCTGAGCTCGAGTGGATGAGGCCGAGCTCGAGTGGCTGAGGCAGAGCTCGAGTGCCCCACGAGGTGGTCGAGGCCGAGCTCAAGTGCTTCACGCGGTGGCTAAGGCAGAGCCTAGTCTTCTCATCCTTTTAACCTGCAAAATGAGTTTAAAAAAGAACACAAGGCGCTCGCGGGCTCGGATGGACCGATCACCACGCGGCCGAGAAGAGTAAGTCAACGTATAAGTTGGGTCCAAAGTTTTGGACAAAAGATAGGCCTGATCAACAGAGTGCGCCGATCGTGTAGTAGTCTGGTCTAGAACAAACCTTAGCGTCATCCTTAGTGAGACCGGGGTCTTCAAATGAGAGCTGCTCGGGTAAGTGAGATAGGCACAAAGGATGCACCCCTCGCCTTAGATCCGAGAGCAAAATAGTTCACGTCGTGAAAGACGGATATATAAGAGTGCGTCGAGATGGACGGCTTACCTCGGCCTCGCGAATAATATCGTCGCGGACGATTTGGAGTGCCTCGCGGGGAGGGCTTACCTCAGCCTCGTAGAAGAGGAAAAAAGGATCGCGTCGTGAGAGACGGATGGGAGTGCGTCGCGGCGGACGTCTTACCTCGGCCTCGTGGAAGAGGAAATGAGATCGCGTCGTGGAAGACGAATATGTTGGAGTGCGTCGAGATGGACGGCTTACCTCGGCCTCGCGATAATATCGTCGCGGACGATCTTCAACACCTCGTGGGGAGGTTTTACCCGGCCTCGCTAAGGGATGACTAAATGAGTTGGATCTGAGCCATGCCCTGAGGCAGGTCGCTGGCCTGTGTGGGGTGCGAGATTAAGCTTTGCGCTCGTCCCACATCAGGGCTTAAAGTGTTGAAAACAAAGTGTAATACCATCGTCCAAGTGAGGTCCGATCACATGTGGTGGACAAGGTAATAGTAATAATAATAGAGTAATGACACGAATTACCAAATTGAAATGATGGTAAATATAATAATAAATATGGAATAGTTGAAATGATGTATTAGGTGTAAAAGACTTAACTTTTTTCTGTTGCTCTCTGGTCTGATTGTGTAGCCCCGTACGGAGCAATAATACAAATGAACTATTGCTATCCTGTCAAAATGAGCTGGATGACCTAGGGAATCGGGAGAAGGATGGAACACAGAACAGCGCCGGATCTGCTTCGTTTTAAACGTCGAGATCTTCCGTCTTCCCAGTCGTTCATCTCGATGCAGACGATGGTGAAAGGCCCTGTAACCACAGAGACGATATCTGATTTAGGCTGCAGTTGCAGTGCCGGTTTCAATGGTGGCGGCAGATGCGGCTTTGGCGAAGAAGACTTGAATGCGGCGGTCCGGCAAGGATGGGATGCCGTCGAGAGTCTTCTCTGTCGAGGTGCGGCGCCCCGCGACGAAGATCTCCGAGCAGAGGAGGAAGAGTTCCTCGAGAGTCACCGGCGGTGAGCATCGGATTTAGGCTGCAGGACGCGTAGATCTGCTGCACAGATCTGCTGCGGGGGTTGCTGGTCGCTGGTTCACCGTCCGAAGCTTGCCGTTGCTGCGCTCGCCGGAGTGAAGGAGTCGCTGGAACTTCAACGACCGCCACTCTCGTTCGCGATTTAGTCCGGCTCGGATAGCAGGTGAAAGGCTTCGGCTAGCACCAGTCGCAGCACCTCTGATAGAATGGAGCTGCCGGTAGATCTACGACGAGGCTCTCCCATCGTGCCTTGAAGCCGGAGGTGGTCTTCCGTGTGCCAACGGCAGAGCTGGTCGGCGATGGGTGGGGAATTCAATCCCACCACGAAGAATTGGAAGAGCCAATTTGATTGATTGTTTTTTTTTGAGCACGCTTGATGTGTTCGACACTCTCAATGAGAGCACCGATGTTGGGTTATGGAACCCGGGGGCCTAGGTAACTAGGCGGACGAGTATCGAACTAAGTACGAGCGCACAAAATATGGGGGGTCAAGTGAACCGAGAATGATAATGTGCTAGTAAGGGTAATACTTAGAACGTAAGTCCGGAGCGTGTGGAATGAGCTCCTTCCCCCCTCCCTCTTCCAAGAAGAGGGGTATATATAGTGGGAGAGTGAAGGCTAGGGTTTACATACAAAGACCAATGGGCCGGCCCAACAGGCTGGGCCGCCCTAAATAAGAAATTAATAAAC